TAACACAATCTTCGTGTGCTGGTGTGCACGCACATGGAGGCGTCATTTGTCTTCCTCTGTTCCTGCCTCCTTCTCCACTACCTTTTTTTTAAGTTGGAAAGGGGCCTTCTCTTCTCCACGAGGTGTGGGTTTGAGGTAGTAGATAAGGTTTGAACTACATGTACCTGTTGTACACAGGGGTCCAGACAGGCAAGAAGCCACTGTTACTTCTTATAGAACTATAGAACATTTTTCTTAATATTTCTTGTTGGGGGGTGGTTTGTTTTTGTTGTCTTGGGCTTTTGAGACACTATAGTCTGGCCTGGCCTGGAACTCTCTGTGTGTGTATCCGTGGGCGTGTGTGGTGTCCTTAGTCGTGGTGTCACTTTTTGCAATTGCAGTTATGAGTTGACACTCACAGCCCAGCAATAGTGAGTGGGAAGTTCCAGAGATCACCTTTGTTTTCCCACTTTTTTTGTTTCTGAGTCCATCTCATGCAGCACAGGCTGGCCGCAGATTCACTGGGTAGCAGGCGATGACCTGGAGCTCCAGATCCTCCTGGGATTGCAGGCATGTGTGTGCAACCACAGCCTGTTCTCCGCTTTCCTTGTCTTACTGAACAGCTTGTTTAGTTGGAGAGAGTCTTGCTTCCTCTCTGGTCTATGCACAACCTGAGGCAAGAGCTGTCTAATTCAGCCCTGACTCCCCAGTGCTGAGCAGCCCTGGGCACGACCCTTTCCTCCCCTCCCCTGCCTCCTTTCTTTAGTTCCAAATTCTAAAACTTCAAGCAGACCTCACCAAGTCCAAATTCAGGACTCCCGTTCTGAGCACTTAATGCGATTGGGAGGTACACTGATGGAGCCTGTAACATGAAAAAAATAAAAGACGCAGAGACAGATACTGAGATTCAAGTTGGAGATTAGGGAAGCAAAGCAACCAAGCTACCAGAGAGCTCTTACCTCTAACAGGGCTGGGGCATTCCTATTCTCAACATGGCTGGAGAATGACTACTTGATACTGAGACCCTGCTCCTGTTTTATATGTCGCCTAATGCTGGGGTTAAAGGCGTGTGATCCCAGGTATTGAGATCATCTTTGTGTGAGCTGTTTCTCTTTAGGACTGGATCAGTCTTGTGTAGATCCGGGTGGCCTTGGACTCAGAGATCCGTCTACCTCTTGATCCTGAGTTCCAGGGTTAAAGGTGAGTACCATCACCTCTTAGCTTCTGGCTGCTGGGATTAAAGGTGTGTGCCTGGCTTCTATGGCTTGTGGCTGACTTTGCTTTCTGAATCCTCAAGCAAGCTTTAATAAATCATAAATTATATACCACTACAGGTGTCTTTTCTATCCATTTTCCTAGACATATATCAGCGCATTGGAAAATGTTGTCTAACTCACTTCCACGTTGTAGCCTAGTGGCCAGATAGATGCCTGTGGCTGTGACCAGCTCAGCCCTTCTCGGAAAGATCCCGATGACAAAGCCGTAAGAGGAATGACAATAGTTAAGGAATGGGAAGCCCATTCTAAAGGGACAGGCTGGAGCAAGGAATCCAATGCCGGAACAGGGGCCAAACAATGGTGGGAATGAAGGTGGCCGGACAGGGTGTAAATAGTATAAGCCTTGACAATGTGAAACTCAAACTTGTAAAATTTAGGAGGGGAAGGAACTAGGAAGTGGTGGTGAGCTCATTTCCTTTCCTGAAGTCTGGGGTTTCAGAGAGATGCCCTCTATGCTCCCAACCTGCCAAGGCACAAACCAAACTGCTTAGTAGTTCTCTTTGGAAAATACTGTAGAAACGTAAGAGGCAGCGTGACTCTTTGTGGTTTGGTAATTTCCTCATGTGTAGATTTCCTTTTGTTCTGTAAACTGAATGTTATTTTTTTCCTAAAAAGCACACTATTACAGGATGCCATCTCTGTACTATACCCGCCTATCATTTTTTCTAGTTATCCTTGGTTGGGACTTCTCCACGGGTGCCTTCTGGGTGTCAGCCCTGGGAGTTCTAGGTTCCAAACCACTTGAAAGCCTTGCCTTTGGAATTGCTCCATGATACTTTGCAGTTGCAGTAAGGAATGTGCACCTACTTTTATAACATCAAAACTTTTTCTTCCTGGAAGTGGTGGGGATCAAATTCAGGGTCTCACAGTTTCTCCAGGCCAGTAAAGCCTTTTAAAACATTTTTCGATTTTACATTTAAAAAAACAAACATTTTTTGTGGTTTCTTTTTTGAGACAGTGTTTCTCTGTGGTTATCCTGGAACTCACTTTGTAGACCAGGCTGGCCTCCAACTTGCAGAAATCTGCCTGTCTCAGCCTCCCCGAGTGCTGGGATTAATGGTGGGCACCACCATGCCTGGCTCTACAAATTTATTTTTTATTTTATGGCTACAGGTGTTTTTCTTGCATGTATGTCTATGCAACACACGCATCTAGTGCCAAAAGGCCAGAAAGCTTCCATGTGGATGCTATGTCCTCTAGAAGAGCAGTCAGTACTCTTAACCACAGGTCCTCTCTCCAGCCCTGGTGTCTGTGTGTGTGTGTGTGCGTGCGCGTTTTCTGTGACAGGGTATCATGTAGCCCAGGCTGGCTTCAATCTTGTTATATAGCTGGAGTTGGCCTTGAATACCTGCTCTACCTCCCCAGTGTTGGGCTTACATGTGTACAACACCTTGCCCTATTTTAGGATGTACCTTTAAGCCTTGAGAATCTGGTGCCATCATAAGTATAGAGATAAGAAGAGAGTCAGTCTCCCTAGGGTCAGGGTCTTGTGTCCCCACCAGCAGCTGGTGACCCTAAGCTTCTCTGTAAAATGGAAAAGTCACCTTGCCCTCCATTGCTTTTAGTGGCTGGAAGGGATGTGTGATGTGTAGTGTCTGATAGTCTGTAGTGGTCACTAAGGAGCTAGTGACCTTCTGTCATCATGACAGTCATTCCTTACTGATGCCACTCTTCCAGAGACCAAGGGGATCAAGTGGCTCTCTCTGCTTGTTTCTGGGTCCTGAGAACCACTTGGAGCCTCAGCTCCATCTAGTGTCCACATGGGGACACAGCCACCTCTAAGACCTTACTTTCCACAGCTCCATAGAAGCCCACAGTGATGTCCACTTGGAGCAATCCTCCAGTGCGAATATCTGGGATTTACTGTCCTTAAAGGGACAGATTTGTGTAACAAAGGATCATAAGAAATGACACTGACCTCCAGACGTGGTGGTACACCACTTTAATTCCAGCGCTGGAGACAGAGGCAGAGGCAGATCTGTGAATTCTAGGCCGGCCAAGGCTACACAGTAAGACCCTGTCTCAACAAAAAAATTGACAGTGCCAAGAGATTCCTAGGCACTGGAAACAGTCCTAAGTTCTTGAATTGTGCATGTTCATTTCATACATGCCAGTGTCATGAAATGGTGGTATTTGTTTCATTTTAGAGGGACAGAGAAATGAGATAAAATCTGTCACTCTGAGGGCGAATGGCCCACTAGGATGTCCATGTCCCAGTGGCTGTCCCTACACCTACTGGATTCCGTGGGCTATGAATAGAGGAAACGGCGTTAGGAGGGTGGGGCGGTGGTGGGGTCTGGGAGGAATTGAAAGGGGAATGGGTGTTATATAATCAATATACATTGCATACATGTGTGAAATTCTCAAATGAGCAAAAACTATGGCAAAAACAATTACCACTCTTCTGAGTGTAGGCAGAGGCGGCTGGGTGAGGCAGGGGATGGGAAGGGAGCTGGAGAAGGGGTTCAGGCTGCATTGATGATGTGGAGAGAATGGTTGTGCGGCAGCTGGAGCTTGGGAGTGGTGGCCGTGACAGAGAAAGACAGGGCTCAGCAGCTGGAGGCTCTGGCTGAACGAAGACGACGCGGCAGCATTGGCACGTGGAATAAAGCCACGACCACTGTTCTTGAGGCCCCAGAACTCAGAAGAGAAGGCGGGCCTGGAAGGCAGGCAAGGAAGAATGCTTTCTCACACAGAGATTTACGAGTCAAGCAGCAGGAAGATGGGGGCAGAGGGTGAGGGCATCAGCTTGGAGGAAGTGGATCAGGTACCCTGGGCAGTGGCCGGGGTCCATATGGGGCATGGTGGCTGTGAGTGTAGAACAAGGAAAGGTTTACTGGAGCCAGAGAGGGTTTGGAGGGAAGGGGTGTGTCAGCGTCAGGGAAGGCTCAGCAGGATAGGAACACATGGAGCAGGGCCTGACAAGGCCAGCAGCGCAGTGTGCGCAGGCAAAGGGAGGTCAGATGAGGCAAAGGCTGTGCAGCACTGCCTTCTGGGAAAGGAAGGAGACAGCCTGTGGTCTGAGGAGAAGCTGAGCTTGAGGAGGATGGAATAGGGAACCGAGGAGGGAGAGAGCTGGTGCTGATTGGGGCGGCTGGACGACAGGGAAGGTCTAACAAGGTCAACGGGGGGTCCTGGGGAGAGCCCAAGACTGGGATAGTGGGCGCGGAGGCCTTGCTGAGTTTCTGAAGGCCGATGGCCAGGTGCGGGGAGTCAGAGCAAAAGGGGCTTCCTGAGGGCATCCCGGAGGCTACCAACCCTGGGGACCAAGTCAGGAGAGAGGGAAAGGGAAGTGGCCACAAGTGGTGAGAGAAGGGAGGGATTCTTGGTGGGGTCAGAGCTGAGATGGAGGCTCCAAAGGTACTGCCCAGAGGTGAGATTTCTGAAGGTCTTAGGAGTCACCCTAAGACAAGGGTCAGTGTAGCGGAGGGGGAGTGCCTCTGAAGGAGAGGAGGCTCATGATGAGGGCAGAAGGCACTGGGAGGAGGGCTAAGGAGAGGGTGGGGCTTTCGGTGGAGGCAGGAGGAAGCAGAAGACAGCCATCCAGGGTGTCCTGCCCTGTCCTTGTTACCAGGTTCAAAGGGACTGTGCACCTTGCGTATGCAATGAGAAAGCTCAATGGCTGGTGAAGGACCTGGCCAGGCAATGCTCAGAAATCAGGGACTGCCAGCCAAGTAGACAGAGACAGTCAGTGAAGCTTCCCAAGCCGGGTGCCCAAGGTCGAAGAGAAACACGGAGAGCAGATACAACCATATTGTGCTGCTTTTAATTACGAAAGATGTAAAATGATGCATTATAAAACTTGGAAGCTACTTTATACAAGTCCAACCTTTCAATATTGCTTAACAAAGGGCCGGGAGTTAGGGCTGGCAGGAAGTCCGATTAGTTGCTGGGATGGCCCCATCCTGGAGCAGTGGAAATGCTGGGAACCATCTGTGCGTAAACCAGAAGGGCCCTGGAGAGTCCCAACAGGACGTGTCTTCAGACACGCTCAGAGACTGCAGTAGGGTTAGAAGGGAGAGGGCAAAGGAGATGGGCGTTTGACGCCATCAGAGCATCTCACACTCTCCTCGAAAACCCAGACCGCCACATGGCCAGAAAGATGAGTACAGCTGGTGTGGCCAAGTTCAAACACGCACCGGTTTGGGGACACCTGAGGCCACTGCAGTGCTGAGACAGGTTTGTCTGTCACGAAGCCAGCAGCGAGTACAGGCTTACATGGCTGGGGTGGGGCGACACGGTCTCCCGGTGTCCTCAATACCGTCTAGACACTCTAGTGGCCTAGCAGCAGATTTGACTCAGTGCTACATTGCGTTGTTTTGCCTTTTTGTTTTTTAATCGACTTCCCCCATAGCCAGTACTTCCCCATCGGCTGGAGAATATCCCGGGGGCAGGGCAACTCACGGTATGAGGTCCTGGGGTCTCCTGTAACAAGGCAGTCTTCCCCTGATGCAATGAACCCATGCATAAGGCACAATGCAGAGAGCAAATTGTGCTGGGACCCCCTTCCTCTAAACTCTTACAACGCACAGATCCCCGCCTGAAGGCTATGACCCGACTGGAGGGGCCTGTGGCAGAGGAGCTGGCTTCCGTGGGCATGGTGGGGTGCTGGGCAGCATGAGGGATGCAGCGCTTTCCCTGGAACTAAAGTCGCTCTGCTCTGGGATCTCAGGCATAAGGCATATGAGGTTCCACTGGGAATAGGGCTCACAAGCAGAGGCCAGTAGGGGTGGGATGGGATAGAGAGGATTCACTTTAGTTTCCCAATTCAACAGCAGAGACTGAGGTAAACAGGCACACAAAATTCTTGGGTCCTACAGGAAGGCGGAGTACGGCACCATCGGGGTTGTTTGAAGGGTCACAACGAAGGCTATGAGGAGATGCCGACAAGCCGTGGAGAGGTGCGGGGGCCAGGGTCCTCGTCCACAAGCACGGTAATGTCAGCTTCCTTCTACTTCATCCTTGCTCGCCGGGTGCAAACAGTCATTGGGCCTTAGCTGCACCCGTCTCCAGGAAGGGTAGCTGCGGTCCAAGCAAAGACTCACCTTTAGTCCCTGCCCCGCCTCCATCTCTCCCATGCCTGGCTCCTCCCCATGTGCTCTGTGGGAATCACCACTTTTCCCACTCAGGGCTATCGGGCAGTGGTGGTAGAATCTGGTCAAATTATTGTGTGATAAGGTGTTAATGAGTAACGAATCAGGCCTCCTTTACTATAAACTCATTTCTTAACCTCAGAGTACGCACCTCTATTTTAGGCAATTTAGAATACAACATGGATCTGAGTAGGAAGATTTTGCTGTGGGGCCAGTGAAGATCCCAGAGGCCCTGCACTTAGGGGCTTTGGTGTGCTCAGCCATCCTGGATGATTCCCACCTAGTTGCTGAGGGACATAATCCCCAGGAGGACGTCACTAGGATGTCATCTAGTGTGTTAAGGCATATTCAGGTGAGTATGAATTAAAGGCACCAGTATGAGAAGGTTAAGCTCTGAGCTTAGGCAGGGAATAGACATGCTACAGGTCAGACTGCCCCCCACATGGCATATGCATTCACTCCCTCACCACTGGTGGCCACGCCCAGTCACACAGCACTCATTCTTACCAGGCACTTGGTAGGCACTAGGGTTCAAGAAGGAACAAGGCACAGCTCCTGCTCCCTTGGAGCTTACAGTCTAGTGGGATCGCATTAAACAGAGAAAGCTGGGGAGGAAAAGGGGTCCAGCTGCTGTCACTGACACGCGGCCCAGCAGCTCTGCCCAGTGGGGCTGTAGGGGGCCAGCCGAGGACGGAGGATGTCTTGTGCAGGTGACAGATCTGCAGCCTCCTAGAGGGAGCTCCTCCCTCTTTAGGCTCATCCTATTTCCAGGGACTTTTCTTCGGTGAGCAAATGGGTCTCCTTCTCCTCCTGTCCGTGTACAGGAAAGCAGCAGCAAAGAGGTCACAGGCTGGGAGAAAGCAAACTGAGCTCAGCTTGCCTAAGGACAGCCGCCCCGGGACGGGTGGGTAAGCTGCCTCACTTCATTACGCCATCTGGCAGAGCAATGGCGAGGCCCAGGCTACGCACCAGCTGGGGGTGCCTGACCTTGTTGGTCACACACAAAGGCATCACAGTGCTCTGGTACCATCACTGTGTGATGCTGAACCAACTCCTCAGGCCTGTGGCTCCCAACTGAGTCCCACACTGGGTCACATCTTCAGTGCTGGCTGGGATCTGTGGCTCGGAGGCTGAGGATGTTGCGGAGTCTGCCTGTTACACAGCGCTCTGCAGTCATACACTGACTAGATGGACAACAGAAAGAGTGAAGGTGACACGGTGAGCTTCGCAGTCATCAGAAGCTCCAAAGCAGCTGGCTTGTGGCAGTACAACTGGTGTCACAGGTCGGAGAGGCAGGATGCAGCTGTGTCTAGAAAGCCATGATATCTGAGCTAGGACTCGAGGAGGGCCTGGGACAGCATGGCGCCCTCCATTGTAGCCTCTGCTCCGGCCCTTTCAGACCCCCTGCTCCACTCCACTGCGCTCACAACCGGTCAGCTCGAAACGTCTCCTCCACGGAGGGGTCCAGCAGGCCCATGCTGGAGTCACTTAACATGTTGAGTCCATCCAGGCTCAGGGGTTCGATCTGCAGCTCCTCTTCCAATGGAAACGGAGTGTCCATGTCCAGGCCAACCTCAGGCATGCCTGACAGCCCCCCACTAAGGCCTTTGAAGAGACTGGCACTTGGATCTTCTGAAAGGGGCAGAGAGGAGATTTAGGGACAGGAGGACTGAGACTTCTAAAGAGTGACAGTCCCCAGTATTCTGTCATCTGTCATCTTCCCAGACAGGCCAGTGAGCACCACATGCTGACCACTCTCAGGCCCACAGCTCTTGGCCCTGGAATTAGCTTTTTTTTTTTTTTAAGACAGGGTCTCATTCTTTATGTAGCGTAAGGTTGGCCTCAAACTCAAGGGAACCCTGCTGTCTCAGCTTCCCAAGGGCTTGAATTACAGCTGTGCACTGCCAAGTAAATCTCTGAATTTCTGTAGTTTTTTTTTCCCCTTCTGAATTGTTTCCAGTCACCTGAGACTAAATATTTCAGAAATGTGTTGACCACCAGGCCCTTTCCTCATTGCCTGCCTCTGTCTCTACGGCTGAACCCCTGCATCTTCAAGTCAGACAGAGTCTGGGGGGTCTGTTTCATTTATAGAATGTGATACGCTCTAAACTCTCTTTCACACTTGTGAAATGGGATCAACAACACAGCTGAGGGGTGGCCCACACTCACCTGCCAGGATGGTGTTTGGGAAGTTCCCACAGTTGGCATACGGGTTTGGTCTCAAGTGAAATGAGTCCTGCGGCTCTCGGTGACTCTGCTGCACCAAAGGCACCTGGAAGCATCAAAAGTAACTCCTGCAGCGTGTCCCCAGACTGTCTGCCCCACGGTCCTTCCGCCCGGAGGACTCCGCTGTGTGATAACATAGCACTCCTGGGCATCAGGAGGACTCCGCTGTGTGATAACATAGCACTCCTGGGCATCAGGAGGACTCTGCTGTGTGATAACATAGCACTCCTGGGCATCAGGAGGACTCTGCTGTGTGATAACATAGCACTCCTGGGCATCAGGAGGACTCTGCTGTGTGATAACATAGCACTCCTGGGCATCAGGAGGACTCTGCTGTGTGATAATATAGCACTCCTGGGCATCAGGAGGACTCTGCTGTGTGATAACATAGCACTCCTGGGCATCAGGAGGACTCCGCTGTGTGATAACATAGCACTCCTGGCATCAGGAGGACTCTGCTGTGTGATAACATAGCACTCCTGGGCATCAGGAGGACTCCGCTGTGTGATAACATAGCACTCCTGGGCATCAGGAGGACTCCGCTGTGTGATAACATAGCACTCCTGGGCATCAGGAGGACTCCGCTGTGTGATAACATAGCACTCCTGGGCATCAGGAGGACTCCGCTGTGTGATAACATAGCACTCCTGGGCATCAGGAGGACTCTGCTGTGTGATAACATAGCACTCCTGGGCATCAGGAGGACTCTGCTGTGTGATAACATAGCACTCCTGGGCATCAGGAGGACTCCGCTGTGTGATAACATAGCACTCCTGGGCATCAGGAGGATTCTGCTGTGTGATAACATAGCACTCCTGGGCATCAGGAGGACTCTGCTGTGTGATAACATAGCACTCCTGGGCATCAGGAGGACTCTGCTGTGTGATAACATAGCACTCCTGGGCATCAGGAGGACTCCGCTGTGTGATAACATAGCACTCCTGGGCATCAGGAGGACTCCGCTGTGTGATAACATAGCACTCCTGGGCATCAGGAGGACTCTGCTGTGTGATAACATAGCACTCCTGGGCATCAGGAGGACTCTGCTGTGTGATAACATAGCACTCCTGGGCATCAGGAGGACTCTGCTGTGTGATAACATAGCACTCCTGGGCATCAGGAGGACTCCGCTGTGTGATAACATAGCACTCCTGGGCATCAGGAGGACTCCGCTGTGTGATAACATAGCACTCCTGGGCATCAGGAGGACTCTGCTGTGTGATAACATAGCACTCCTGGGCATCAGGAGGACTCTGCTGTGTGATAACATAGCACTCCTGGGCATCAGGAGGACTCCGCTGTGTGATAACATAGCACTCCTGGGCATCAGGAGGATTCTGCTGTGTGATAACATAGCACTCCTGGGCATCAGGAGGACTCTGCTGTGTGATAACATAGCACTCCTGGGCATCAGGAGGACTCTGCTGTGTGATAACATAGCACTCCTGGGCATCAGGAGGACTCTGCTGTGTGATAACATAGCACTCCTGGGCATCAGGAGGACTCTGCTGTGTGATAACATAGCACTCCTGGGCATCAGGAGGACTCTGCTGTGTGATAACATAGCACTCCTGGGCATCAGGAGGACTCTGCTGTGTGATAACATAGCACTCCTGGGCATCAGGAGGACTCTGCTGTGTGATAACATAGCACTCCTGGGCATCAGGAGGATTCTGCTGTGTGATAACATAGCACTCCTGGGCATCAGGAGGACTCTGCTGTGTGATAACATAGCACTCCTGGGCATCAGGAGGACTCTGCTGTGTGATAACATAGCACTCCTGGGCATCAGGAGGACTCTGTGAGGACCACAGCGTGGGTGGCTTTTTTCTGCCTATACACTGCCTGTTACATGATCCCAAGAGACACCAGAGGCCACAGTTTCAGACTCTCTCTGAGTCTCAGACTCCCCCTGCTCTCTGGCTTCCAGGGAAGTGAGAGAGCAAACTTTCCCTTCACACCTGGCCAGCACCTCTCTAGAACAAAGCCTCTAAGGCCTAACGAGGAATTGGGACTGATTTAGGAATTTTTGCTGAAATTAATTTTTTACACCATTAAAAAAAGTCTCAAAAGAAAGACTTTTGAGGGAAGTGCAGGTCCGAACCTAGCCCGATAGGGGCTGAAACTGTGAGGTAGATACAGTTTGGTGCCAGAGCGCTTGCCTGGCATGTGTGAGACCCTGGGTCTGATGCCAAGCACCACAAAATATAAAACAATACCAGCAACTAAACACAATGCAGAGAGGTGAGGACTACTGACTCCTGCCACAGGATCACTACTGGCTACTTGGCTACAGCTGTCTTTATCGGTGTTACTATTGCTAAGTTCTGAAGGTGGATCAACCTCCCTTCACTTTTTAATCCATCCTGGAGCCTGACCAGTCCTTACTAAACACTATTAAAAACACAAAAGCAAAACAAAGTGGCTGAATGGAAACGCCCTGTAGAAGGAGCGCCCGTGCGCCCCCGCCCCAGTCCTGGGCTAAGCTCTCCTAGAAGGCCACGCACTGAGCTGGGCTCGCAGGCACAGGGCTACACCATTCTCTAACTCTGCTACTGCTGCCAGGTGTTGTGCCTCCTTGTCCTTCAGAGTCTCCAACACAGAGGACTGACTAGTTAGTTAGCTGCTATGGTCCCCGTGTGTACATGTGTGTTCTGTGTGCATCTGGAGGCAGGAAGACAACCTTGGGTGCTATTCCACAGATGCCATCCACTTTCTGGATTTAAGATTGACCTGGAACTCGTCACCTAAGCTTGGCTAGCCGGCAGAAAGCCCTAGGGATCATCCTTGCCTTCCCAGTGATGGGATTCTGAGTGTTCACAGTCACACCTAGGATTTCGTTCTTTTATCTTTTGTTTTTAAAAGGTTTATTTTTATGTGTATAAGTGTTGGCCTACATATACTTTGTATACCATGTGGATGCCTGGTGTCTGGAGGAGGCCAGGAGAGGGCATCAGACACCCTGGAACTGGAGTGATGGGTGGTTGTGCTGTTATGTGGGTGCTGGGCATCAAATCTGGGTCTTCTAAAAGAGCAGCAAGTGCTCTTATCTGTTGAGCCATCTCTCCAGCCCCGGCTTCTTCTTTCTGGAAGGGGTCTCATTATGTAGCTCTGGTTGGCCTAGAACTTCTACATACACAAAGTCGATCACAAACTTACAGAAATCTGCCTCCCTCTACATCCCAAATGCTGGGGTTGATGATGTGCACCACTACACCTGGTCTACTTCTTTTTAAATGCATGTTTCAGGGATGGAACTCAAATCCTTGTGCTTTACTGATTAAATTATCTCCCCAACTCTATGACTAGGGTGTTATCAAAATCCACCATTGTTCCAACAGTTCCTCTGCCGAGACCTGACCTACTACACAAAGTATGTAAGGTATAAGGCAGCCATACTGGTACTAAGAGAGAAGACACAAGGCTCTCTTGGCCATGGAACATGACTGAAACAGAAGGGAGGCCTCATCTCTTAGGTTGAAGGGTCTACACACAGAACAACCTGGGTAGTGCATTTTATACCTCAGGGCAGGAGCAGTCACTTACCTGTTGAGGAAAGGCAGGGCTGGGTCTCATGGGCTGTTGGTCAAAGCCCACATCTGGGAAGAAGTTGGTCAGAGACGAGCCCTTTGGGAAACAGGGTGTAACTATTACAGTTGGCGTGTAGAGCGAAACAAACATCCCCACCTCACCATGTCCCACAGGGACTTACCTGGGCAGTGAGGAGCTGGAAGTCCGACTGTGGCAGGGAGGGGGCTGCCTGGGGCGGATGAGCAGGGGCCTCCTGGGCATGGGGCTGCTGCAGGTGTGGCTGGGGCAGCTCCTGGGGTGTGGGGTAAGGAGGCGGTGGGGACACTTGGGCTTGAGCTTCTGTGGGCAGGAAGGAAAGTGGGCTTTGCTCTGAGGATACCACCTGTGAAATAAATCAAGGGACTCATTAGCTTCCAAGTGGCAAGATCCTTCGTGTTAGTGAAGGCGAGAGGGGAGGCTGAGCGTCTCCCCGCCACGCTGAGGTGCCCTGCTCCTGCTCTTCTGTCTCCCTGCTCCTGCTTTTCTAAAACTCATCTCGGTTTCACACCCCTGAAAGCATCTCCCATCAGTGACACTTCTATTGTTTAAACAAACAAGAATATAGCCAATTTCCTGTTTTCTCAGTGAAAGTTGCATCTCATTTGTGCTGGTGAGAGGTGGGAACTGAAGACAGTTCTCGGCTGCACTACCATCCTAAACTCTACTAAAGCGAGACACTGACACAACAGCAACAACAGTGAACATCAACACACAACCGTGGGCAACACTGACGGGAGGGGAAAGATAATGGGAGAAAAGAAAATGGCGACACAGCAGAACGGAGAGGGCCATGTGTTGTCATCCAGGAAAATCAAGAGCTACCCTGATTCATGTGACCCAGTCTCTAAAGAGCTCCAGGCTTGGAGACAGCAGGGAGCAGGGTTGATAGTAACCTCGGAGCACTGTCCAGGGTTTCTGTGAGGGGCAGCTAGCGGCCCTCCCTGACGCTGGCTGGGGAGTGGAGGTTGGCTCTGGAGAGTAAAGGTAAGGTCTCTGCATGCCACAAGGTGAACTATCTACCTTCAAGTTGGCCCCAGAGACTGCTCTCCAGACACAAGTCCACATATCAAACAGTATATAGTACTGCTCAGGGCTTTGAACCAGCCCTAGACTTCTCTAAACAGAAGTACTAGACAGAAGTTCCCCACAGAAATGAGAGAGAGAGTTCTGTCATGAGGTATGCCTCAGTAAGCCCCTACTCTCAGAGCAGCCTGTCAGCAATTCAGTGTCTTGTTCTTAAATGTGATGGGAGAACCAAGGACTGCCAGACCACCGCATCTCCAGGTGGGCAGGGTACCCGGCATGCCCATCAGAACCCAAAGAGATAAAGACCAGAAACATAGGCAGGAAGAAACAAGGAAATAAGTCTACTATTGTAACATTTAGGCCTATCTTGGCCTGGTGCATAGCACGCACCTTAAAGTTCAGCACATGGGAGGCAGAGGCAGGCAGATTTCTAAGATCAGCCTGGTATACAGAGAGAGAGTTCTAGGACAGTCAGGGCTACATAGAGAAACCTTGTATCAAATGTATTTATTTATTTATTTATTATGTATATAGCATATGTCTGTATGCCCACAGGTCAGCAGAGGGCACCAGATCCCATTACAGATGGTTGTGAGCCACCATGTGGTTGCTGGGAATTGAACTCAGGACCTCTGAAAGAGCAGGTAGTGCTCTTATCCTCTGAGCCATCTCTCCAACCGAAACCCTGTATCAAAACAAAAAACAAAAACCTAAAACCCAAAAATAAATAACTAAGCAAATAAAAAGAAGGAAAAATGAATGAGTGAGAGGAGAGAGAATGAGAGGAGAGAGAATGAATGAGAAGAGAGAGGAGAAATATGGGCATCAGAGGAAAATTTCACAATGTTCAACATTTGTAAAACAGGAATCCCAAACCGGGCGGTGGTGGCGCATGCCTTTATTCCCAGCACTAGGGAGGCAGAGGCAGGCAGATCTCTTGAGTTCGAGGCCAGCCTAATCTACAAGAGCTAGTTCCTGGACAGCCTCCAAAGCCACAGAGAAATACTTTCTCGAAAAACCAAAAACGAACAAACAAACAAACAAACAAACAGGAATTCCAAAAGGAATGGAGAAAGTCAAGGGAAATGTCATTGAAGAAATGATTAAAATTCCCAGAAATAATGGACACAAGTCTCCAGACACAAGAAACTCAGCAAACCTCCACACTCATTCCAAGCCACATTATCTCAAAGTTTCACAATCCTGGAGACAGGAAGAACCATCCTAGATGCTTCCAGAGGAGTGAAGGAGGTGCCATTCCAAGTCTTAGGTGTATGACTGGAGTAGGTCAATCAACACCTCTAAAGTCCCAGATGGACATATCCCATCTTAAGAGTTCTCTATCTAGCCAACTATTAACTAAATGGAAGGCAGAATAGATTTTCCAGTACCATTTGGCACTGAATTACCAACACACAGCTAGAAAGCCAGATCAACAACAGAAAGCAGGACATTAACATCTGGGAGCAAAACAACTACTCACTTTGTTATTTCATCGTGTGCTATGGGGTCAAGTCAAGCTAAGCGCTGTAGCACTAGAAACACAAACACCACATATTGTTCTAACTGAAATTATAATAAGCGAGCAGACTGGATAAGGTGTGAGTGAAAAGGGCTATGGGAGTGTTGAAAGAAAGCTAAATCCCAATCTTGGATGGCAGGGTGTCATTAGATAATGCTTAGCAGCAAAATCTGCAACAAAAGAAGCATGTTTATGCCAAAGGGATTAGCTAAAGTGGTTGGAAAAGCCAACTCCAGGCAGTGAAAACTGTGGTTAATGGGTTAGGGGAGACAGGCCCTTTAGAACTATTTGTCTTTTGGAAGTACATGCATGAGAAAGTCTTTTAAAAGCTTAAACATTATACAAATAATAATAATAAAAATATCAGAGCTGGGTGGCGGTGGTGGACACCTTTGATACCAGCACTTGGGAGGCAGAGGCAGGCAGATCTCAGTGAGTTTGAGGCCAGTGTGGTCTACCAAACAAGTTCCAGGACAGCCTGGGCTATACAGAGAAGCCCTGTCTCAAAAACCAAAAACAAAACAACAAAAAATAAAATAAAATTAGAGAATCAATGTTCTCTACCCTTAAAATGCAGTTAGAAAGCAAGAACACTTTTACAGCTCATAAAATAATCTCACAAAGAAAAACTGAACAGAATTCAGTAACATTTGGGGGGTGGGTTCAAGACAGACAGGGTTTCTCCGTGTAACAGTCCTGGCTGTCCAGGAAGTCACTTTGTAGACCAGGCTGGTCTTGAACTCACAGTTTCACCTCTGCCTCCTGAGCACTGGGATGAAAGGTGTGTGCCATCACTGCCTGGCAATCCATTAACTATTTTTTTTTTCCGAGACAGGGTTTCTCTGTGGCTTTGGAGGCTGTCCTAGAACTAGCTCTTTTAGACCAGGCTGGTCTCGAACTCACAAAGATCCTCCTGCCTCTGCCTCCCAAGTGCTGGGATTAAAGGTGTGTGCCACCACCGTCCGGCTCCAGTAGCATGTTTAAGAATTAATTTTTTAAAAATTCCCAAATGCTATCTCATCTTCCCCAGAAGAAGTGGCTCACAATGTCAGCATCCCATCCCAGTAACCGGTAGAGTGACTAATAACCGGATCATGTGACTTCTCCCCTGGTGTTCTACCGACTGCTCTTTACAAACCATTACTCATTTACATGAAGCAGTGAGTAGTTAATGATGTTATAATGTGTCTAGGGTGTGGTAAATGGATCAAAAATATATTTACCAATGATTATGGTAAGGAGAAACGCCCCAAGAGTTTAGAGTAAAAACAAAGTCAGAAAGTCCAGTATGACGTTCCTCTACTTCTACACGACTGTGAGTCCCAAATGTGCCTCTCTCTAAGCAGACTCCGTTTACAGCACTGTCACCCTTGTCAGAGCTAGTATTTCACATAATGAGAGTATTGTTTCTCAAGTGGGCAGTAGAACGAGGGAAGACAAGTGTTTTTTTGGGCTTTTCTCTGTGACTTACTGTAGTTACTAGGTCAATGTTTGATTTCCCATGTACAGTTTGCAATTTAAACCTGGTTTCCCTGAATTGCGGTTCATTTTCCACACTGTACTCCTTTCCCCAGCCCCAACTTCATGAGTTAATGACTACAAATTGTTTAATCTTTGCTTAAGGGCAATAAATATCACAAGCCTGCTATGAGAAAATCATTAGTGCATTTTGACTCATGCACACCTCTGCTCTCTTATTTTAGGAATAAGACAGAAGTGAGTGCATTTGCAATCATCTCAGGGATGTAATAGCAATGGACCAGGCCCCAAATGACCCAGGAGGAAGAGCCATGTGCTGCTCAGCCTGCTGCTTGTAGGCGGTTCGCAGGTCTCCCTACCTGGGAGGCAGGGTATGGGTTCAAGGGGCTGGTTGAAGAAAGCTGTCTGCCGAACACTTGATGTGCTTCGGGGCCAGGAGACAGCGTGAGAGGGCTGACTGGAGGCTGCCTGCGCCGAGAGGGGCCACTCAGGTTTGTGGTGGGAAGAGATGGGTTGCTAAGGGAGAAGAGGCGGAGCGAGGGGTGAAGAGCAGATGCAGTGGCCACAGATGTCTGTGGGTGACTATTGAAGGATGATGACAGCCCGGCCTTATTGAGTGTGGCTTGGATGGAAGGATTACTGCGAGAACTCTGGAGACCTGCAAGAAAACAAATTCACAGGTTTCTTGTTATGATTTCAGTTCAAAGGTTTTGTTTTCCAAAGCAAACTTCCTACCAGCTATGTGAAGACTGTGTGTGAAGAGGTTTCTGGGCAGCTCTCCTGCTGGGAATGTCTCGGGTGTACCAACGACAAGGAAAGGAAGCACTGTATGTAGAAAGATGCTGTCAGGCATCAGCGTGGGTGAGAGGAGAATCACTGCCTCCAAAGAGGAAAACGACCGAGAAAGCCACCCCCGTGGAAGCTGGAGCAGGTGAGTGGCGGTGAGGAGCCTCAGGCAGCTACACCCCCAGTTTAGAGCCCCTGTGCATCTGCCGCATCACACGGCCTGGATCCTCTATGGCCATTGAAGAACACGCCCCCCTGCCCCGCCCCCAGACCTCTCAGCCTTACAGGCAGTCCCTCACGCTTACATTTTGGCCTCTTCACAAGCTTTCTGTAAACAATGTTTCCAAACTCGGCAGAAAGGATGCTTCTGGTCCCTATTCCTCTGAGGTGAAAGGGGGTGAATCTTGTCGCGAGCAAGACTTTTTGGGAATGGTGTCTCCATAGCACAGACAGCTGAGAGAGGAGTTCCAGGAAGCTGGGACACCACTGGACCTTGGCACTCAGCTCAAGCCCAGATGGAACAGCTCTACTCCGTGAAGGAGAAAGCTGCTGTTGTGGCCACATCCGTGGTCAGTTCAGCCCACCACATTCGTGCTCAAAGTTGGGAAGCAGAAATGTGTGTTTATGCTGATAAAAATTTGTTTGTGGGGGGTCAGGATAGCTTAGTGGCAGAGCATACGCCTGGAATTCTTGCGGCTCTAGGTGAAATCTCTAGCACCTTGAGCAAAACCAAACAAAACAAAAGTGGAAACAAGTAAGAACAGCACCCTGCAAGCAGCCCTTGAGGGTAGAGGCAGGGGGCCAAGAGTTCAGGACCTGCGAGCTGGAGGCCGGCCAGAGCCACATGGGATGTCCCAGAAACAGGGCCAGCAAATGGCTCAATAGGGAAAGGCACTTGGTGCCAAACCTAGTGTTCCTTGACTCGCACATGTGTACTGTGCTCACACGCGTGTGCGTGCACACACACGCTCCAAGTACAAGTATAATGGAAAGAAAGATTGTTTGATAAAACTTACTGAAACGAAGAAATTACAAAATCAACTATTTTAACTGGCAAAATTATTATGATTTAATTTAAAATTTTAAAATGGAGACAGGGCATCTATCATGTAGACCAGGCCTGAGCAGAACTAGATTTATAGCAGAGGATGGCCTTGAACACGGGATTGCAGGTGTGGAACACTGTACCTAATACAAGATTAGTAACTTTAAAAGTGTTGGTTTACTCAGTATGTATGACGTGTACATGACGGGGAAGGCACACAAGCCCTGGTGCATGTGGAGGTCAGGGGACAACTCTGTGGAGTCGGTTTCTCCATCCACCTTTATGTGGGTTCTGGGGATTGAACTCAGGCTTGGCAACAAGCGCTTTTACCTCCTGAGCCATTTTACTAGCCTGAAGAAACATTTTTAAAGTTAGAAATTATGTTTCTGGTAGGATCCTGATCGTTACCCCACCACTCAATCAATGCAAACATGAGACTCAGGTAGCTCAAATAGTAAGGAGAGGTAAGGGTCTGAGTCAGACTTAAAAAGAAGCCTCCTTCAGAAAGAAAGCTTAGATAGTTTTCAAAAACATGTGTCCCAGGATCTTTTATTTTAGAAAAGTAGCTCAGGCTGGTCTGCAACTGGTAATGCACCTGCCTTAGCTTTTTACATTGTATATGACATATACTTAAATATTTTTATTTTATGTATATGAATGCCTGTCTACACATGCTCGGTACTGGTGGAAGCCAAAAGAGAGCGTCAGATCCCTTAGAACTGGAGTCCCAGGTGATTATGAGCCATCAGGGGGATGCTAGGAACTGAACCTGGGTTCTCTGCAAAGAGCAGCAATATTCTTAACCACTGAGCCATCTCCATAGCCTCAGTGCCACACAGTTTAAGGTGTGCACGACACTATAAAGCTAGACACGTGAGCTATGGCGTTCTTCATAAAACGATGCAGGTGACAGTCAATGACTGAACACGAGGTTTTCGGCCAGAAGCAAAGGGTAAAGTCTGCAGGTGGCAGCTTCCTCAAGGACCAGGAGCTAGGAGGGATGTTGTTTTGTTTCAGTGACCCTGGGCATCATGCTCACTGAGAATTCATTTAAAAGGGGTCTTGCCCAAGCTGAGTCTAGAACTCTCAAAGAGTTTGAAATAAATCAAAGAAACTCAGAGCTCAGAGACTGGTGTCTTCTTAAAGGGTACCCCAGGTTCCTTACTGCACTTGGGAACACCCTGCATTTAAGACATTGTAACATGGCTCTACTACTCACTCTTGACAGTGAGTCTGCCCATACATAACTTGATTTATATAAAAAAAAATCAAAACTTAGTCTTAAGAAATAAAAGATAGTTTATCATTGAATGACACTCCCTCCTAAAACAAAAGTAAAGGTGATCTCTGCAACCAGCTGTGTAAAACATAAACCACACTGCTCAGCAGAAGTCCCACAGCACCACCGGAGACCAGGCAGGGAACCCTAGGGGGCCACTCCCAGGAGGCAGGCTCTGCTCTGCTCAGCAAGTCTCACTGAACCCAGAGTGGAAACCAGAAACCACTTCCTCCACCTACACTGTCACTGAGGAGCCTTCCAAATGGAACATTCCACAGCAGGCGCCTGACCTGGGGCTGTACCACACCACTGTAGAGGAGGGACTACCGCCTGCTCCGGGTGCTAACAAGAGCAGTGTTGGTTCAACATGAAGTCAACGTAGGGTCTGGGCTGTGGACAGTCAAGCCTGCGGAGGAACACCACATCACATCACAAGCAACACGACTACAGCCAGTACCACATCTGCAAGCGCTTCTGAGCACTTGGGTAGTTTTGAACTGTAGTAGATTTCTATGTATGCTAAGTATAAGTATTTTCATCATGCCCATTGTAAATTTTCTAAAATTTAAAGTATTGTCCTTTTAAAATCCAGTGGGGGAACTGGGGTGCTAAGGAAATGGATTAAATGATAAAAGATTACCATATGCTGACAGGAACTGCTAACATTGTTCAGTTGGCACGGAATGGCACCTACTTCTCTGCTCCCAAACATTCCTCCCCAAGTTCTCTGCACACACGGGCTTGTGAAGACAACAAAGGATGAGGTGGAGCAGAACTGCTCCAGTGCTCGTCAAACCAGCAGAGGTGGGACCCGGAGCAGACCCTGACGAGTGTAAGGACCACTCTCGTTCAGGGATGCACCAGATCGGGGTACTTACCAGAGGAGTGTCTTATGCCCAGATGAGTCATCGCAGCGGGAAGGTTGCCCACACTATTGCCCACACTCATGCTGCTGTCCAGGGAGGCTGGCAGTGGCGCTGAGTAGTGGAGGTTGGTTAGATCTGGCAATGACCCTCCGGTGTTCAGGGTCCCCAGGAACGGCGAGAGGCCTATGTTCTGGCCATTGTGTGGGAACACACTGAGAAGACAAAGAAGCCCTGCTTCACACCATGCATTTGGCTGCTGGAAACGGGACACACGATGTCTTTTCCATGTCAGGGACTGTAGTCCCTGCCTCGCCCGAGAATGCGGTCAACTGCCCACCCTCTCTGATACAATTGCCAGGCTTGAACCAGGCAGTGGTGGCTCACGCCTTTAATCCCAGCACTTGGGAGGCAGAGACAGGTAGATCTCTGTGAGTTCGAGGCCAGCCTGGTCTACAGAGCTAGTACCAGGACAGTCTCCAAAACAATACAGAGAAACCCTGCCTCGGGGGGGGGGGGACAATGCCACTATAAAACCAGGCTGCGGGCCTGATTTTCATAGCTAGTGCTTGATGGGGGAGGACCTGTCCCATTGTGGGTGGGGACATCCCTGGGCTGGTGGTCCTTAGTTCCATAAGAGAGCAAACTGAGCAAACCAGTAAGCAGCACCCTGCACAGCCTGTGTGTTAGCTCCTGTCTCCAGGCTCCTGCCTCACTGCTTCTGTCGGTGAACTGATACATGGAACTGCCAAGTGAAACAAACCCTTTCCTTTCCAAGCTGCTTTTGGTCATGGTGTTTCATCACAGCAATAGTGATCCTGCCTAAGAAAGGGTGCTAGACTCCTGGAGTTGAGGCTACAAGTGGTTGTAGGCCATCCATCTGCTGTGAGCAGGCAGCAAGTGCTCTTTATCACTGAGCCATCTCTCCAGTCAAGTTTCCATAGTCTTGAAAGCAGGGGAAACATATTGCCACTCATTTATTAAAACCATTGACTGGCCATCGCCTGCCAGGCACAAGGGCAGGCCCAGGAGATAGGATGAGCAAGTCCATCTCCCTGCTGTGCTCCTGAGTTACCTGCTTTTTCCTGTCTTTCTTTAGGAACATGGCTTTTTACAAGCAGGGACTGACCTGCTCTGTTTATTGTTGGATCTGGTGCCTAAAATTAGGAGTTGATAACCATCTGCATGAACAGAACACTGATGGAAACGCTATCTTTAACATAAAATCAAGAAGGCAACTTCCTTTAATTAGCAGATGCTACTTCCAGAGCTCTTCAGGGTTAAGATTGCAGTCCCAGTTCTACAGTGTAAGCACCGGAGCCTGGAGTGTGATTTGTAAGGTGAGGTGTCAGCCCAGACATGCTTTTAATTAATTAATTATGTATATTTGAGTGGTGCGTATGTGTGTGCATGCGCACGTGCAACGCGCGTACACAGGCTACAGGAGGATGATGGGTATCCTGCTAGTAAGTCATTCTCTGCCTTACTTCCTTGGCACACTCTCGCACTGAACCTGGAATTTGGCTGGTGGTCAGGAAGCCCCAGTGATCCTCATGTTGCCACCCCTTCTACAGTGCTAGACTTACAGATGCACACAACCATGCCATTTCTTAATGGGTACTAGGGATTGGAACTCAGGTCTTTAAGCTTGCAAAGAAAGCTCTCTTCCCCTCAGAGTCATCTCTTTAGTCCCCCCTTTTTCAAGACAGGGTATTAATTATCCCAGACTGGTCTCAGATAGCCTTACACTTCAGATCCTCCTGTACTCACCTCTGGATTGCAGGACTGCAACGTGCACTGTCACACCTAGTTATGCAGGGCTGGGATGGAACCTAGGCTTTGTGCATGCTAGGCAAGCACTCTGCTAACTGAGCTACAGGCCTAGCCCCCAGTTTTTTGGTTCTTAAATCTTGGCCCCATCTGTAGGAAGGTCCTACATCTCTGGATGGGCTGGTCTTCTTTGTCTTGCCATGTCCCTAGCAGGATTTCTGTTGTTCTTCTCAGCTCCACAGGCTATTAACTACAGGAGCATATATTTAACTGACCAAAAAAAAAAAGCTCGGATGCACTGCTGTGAAATCATGATTTTGTGACATCTTCTAAAATGGGTATTTGTGTCAAGGAGATCATGCAAAGGTCTCATTTTCAAATCACACTGTTTTGGTCTAGGAAGACTTACTGTTCCTGAGTTGGCTTTGTCCCATGCTATGGGACTGTGACAAACCTCATGTAGCTTTCTGAGTGCTCTCTCAGGGTACTGCCCAGCCCAGGGGTCCTCCCTATGAAGACCCATTCAGATCATCCAGCTGGTTCAAAGGGAAGGGATAGCTGTGGCTCCCTTAGCAGTAGGCTAATCGTGGTCCTCAGCTGAGTCACCTACACCAGTTTCCTTCTGAGTGTCAATACCTAGGCTTCACAACTGCTCTCCCCCTTAATCTCCCTTATGCTCACCTTTCTCACAGACTTTTTAGAACTGTTCGTACTACAAGTATTTTTATACTATATGTGTTTTAATAATCTATCCAAAATCTTTTAGGTAATAAATCTGTATGTCATAAAATCCATTTATTAAGGTAGGTACGGGCTGATTTCTGTGAGTTCAAGGCTAACTTAGTCAATATGGTGAATTCTAGGCCAGCCAGGGTAATATAATGAGACTCATACCTCCAAACAAACAAACAACAACAAAATAAAAAAACCCAAATAATAAATATTGATTAGTGCCACAGACTCATTCAAAATCACAAATCTTCCTGTTCATCCTTTTTATACATTGTAGTAAAATACGCATACTATGTAAATTCACTGCTCTGACCATTTTTGCAATGCGCAGATCAGAAGCATTGAGTACATTCTCAGAACTTCTAAAATCAACTTCTATGTAGCCAATCAAGGTAACTGATAGTTTCCTACCCTGTCAACTGTTGCCCAACGGCCTGCCAGAGGCCCCAGTGGACACGTGTACACTTCTGTTTCTACCAGGTAGGTTCTGTGTGTGCCCAGAGTCAACTGGGCTATTCCTAAATACATTTATGGTGGTTTTATTGATTTGGGGCACATGGGAACTGCCCATGAATTATGTGTAAAAAAGAGAATGGGTATTTTTATGCAAATGCAGTTGACTTGGGTTTATATAGAGCAAGTTCCATTTCTCAGCTCTGTGACAAAGTAGAGAAGACCCTCAAAACTCTTGGCAGAAGTGACTTACTTGCCGCCACCAACGTCACAGGATCGAGGGCGTCCAGACAGAGACTGGATCTGGAAAGAGACAACAAAGCTAGGCTTAGTCAATGCAGCCAAATTCAAATGCTTGAAAAGGGGGCTCTGAGCACCCAAGTTAGAGCCTGTGACAGACAGAACAGGTCAAGGGCATCTTCACAGAGCATCCATGTGAGTTTGGGGAGTTTCCAGTCAAAAGAGAAGTGTAACATTAACATATTTTTTAATTCTTTATTAATTTGTCTTCTAGTTAAATGGTTATTTCCTTCAAAGAGTCAAATGTTTTACACATTCAGATTTTGTTTTCAATTGGCAAGACAGAAAAAGAAGAAAATAAAGGAGCACAACAGGGAAGGAATGAAAGTCAAGGAAAAAGGCCAATCTGGAATGTAAATTGGTGGGGACAGGGATGGATACCAAGGGAGACGAGCTCATCTCTCTAGAGAAAGCAGCTCCAGGTACTGGGGGGGGGGTGCACACCCATTTCCTGTCTTCTACAAACAGTCTCCAAAGTCACCTTTCATAGCCCAGAGGATGGAGAGCTGTTTAAATAAGTGGATTTTAAATCTTAGTTCTTTTAGGCCCCTAAAGATAAAACACCAACTACTTATCATATATATATATATATATATATGATATATATATCCTTTCAAGATCACCTTAATGCTAGCAGAGACTTTGGTAGATTTGATAGAGGAAAAGGAGCAGGACCAATGACCCTGATAGATGAGGACAGTTAGACACAGAGACCAAACAACCAACTACATCTGACTGAGCATCACTGAGGGCTGGGAGGAGGCAGGCCAAGCTAAGCTGGGGGCCTCCCTCTCCTCAGTGGGCGAGGTTTGCACAGCGAGGTGGGGGCCAGCAGTAGGACTTTAGATCCTAACATTCGGATCTCAGAGAAAGCATAGTAAACAGATGACTCATCAGATGTCTCTCCAGAGCCAGGGTCGAAGGCCTCTGATTTTAGAAAGGATCATCTGGCACGATAGCAGTTCTCAAAAGCAGAGAGAGGTCTGCCCTCTCGTGCCAGCTCTCCAAGCTCCAGACCGGGTAGGGCTCGGGTAAGGTTCACACACAAGCAAGGAAGCCACAAGACCACTGTGCTAATTCACCACCATGATCATGACTTTGCTTGGAACGGCACCCATCTCCTGCTGTCTTCCCTGTCTGGGTGTCCAGCCAACTCCGCTCTTCCCTTTTCCCTAGTTCTGGCTTCCGCCTCTGCAGGGCAGGCAGCCAGGGCGATGACTGTAGCTGGGGACGGCTCACCCACCTCCTTGGTCTCCCACAGTTGTTTAGGCAGCGGCTTCGGAACATTTAGCAGGCTCTCTTCTTTCAACAGACCAGGGAAAGATGCTACTAAAAGGGAGAAGACGCACATTCACTGAACTAAAATTAGAAGCAGCTACCCGACTTTTGACCAAATAAATTAGCTTAGTTTAAAACTGCTGGGGTGGGGCTGTGGGGAGCAAACCTGTAATCCCAGCATTCAGGAGGCAGAGGCAGGCAGATCTCTGTGAGTTTGAGGCCAGTATACTCTACATAGGAAGTTCCTGGATAGCTAGGGCTACACAGAAAGACCCTGTCTCGAAAGAAGAGAAAAGAGATGGGTGGTGGCGCACGCCTTTAATCCCAGTACTCAGGAGGCAGAGGCGGGCAGATCTCTGTGTTCTGTGTTCAAGGGCAGCCAGGATTACATAGAAAAACCTTGTCTTGAAACAAACAAAAGAGAAAGAAAGAAAAGGAAAAAGATTTTAAATGGCTCTTAGCATTCAGAGGTGGCTGCCCTGGAACCCGCTATGCAGCCCAGGCTGACCTAGACTTGCAGCCATCCTCTGCCTTTGTCTCTCAAGCGGTGGGATTATAGGCATGTGCCATCCGCCTAGTGAACAGGATTTCTTTAGCAAATATTTATTTTTAACATACTCTTTTCTTTAATTATTGTATTATTTTGTGTATATGGGTATTTTGCCTACATGTGTCTGTGTACTACATGAATGCCAGTGCCCATAGAGGCTAGAAGAGGGCATCAAATCCCCTGGGACTAGTTACAGATGGTTGCGAGCCACCATGTGGGTGCTAGAAGTTGAACCCAGGTCCTTTGGCAGTGCTCTTAACCACTGAGCCATCTCTCCAGCCCCTTTATCAAATGTTTATTGGCAGTCTTCTGGGAAATGTATAAACTAGCCAGGGGATGAAGGCAACACACTTAAGACGGCCAGTAAAACGGAAGGAAGTCCAGGAGAGCAATACACCCTTGCTTGCAGAGAAGAACATTGCGGTTTTGGAGCTGGGTGCTCTGGGCTCCCTTCAGAGACACAGTAAAGGGCATTCAAGCAAAAGAGTGGGGGATAAGTAAAAGGCTTAGAGAAGAAATGGTGGCTACCACCAGCCAGAGTGCTCTGCGGGCTAGGTGAAGGAGAGTGATAGGAAATAAAATGTAGAAGTCTGAGACAAGGCCAGGGCCCTGCAGGCATGGGAAAAGAGATAAGGAAAAGCACACATTAATCAAGAGAAGATGAAAAGAAGACGGTAACAACAAATGAAGAGGTGGGTTGGGGAGATGGCTCGGTGAACAGAGCATTTGCCCTGCAAGAGTGCAGACCAGAGTTTGGATCCCCAGAACCCACGTAAAAGCCAGACAGGCTTGGCAGCTGCCTATAGGATTATAATCCCAGAGCACCAGGGGCAGAGACAGGCTCTTTGCTCCCTGAGCAAGCTGATGAGTTAGATTAGCCAAAATCAGCAAGTGATGGACCCCACAGGTCTCCTGCTCCAGTAAATAAAACGGAGAGTAGTCAAAGAAGACGCCTATCTCAACATGAATGTGCATGTATGTGCAAGTACCCCCCAAGGTGTCCACATACATAAACACGGGTGCACATACACAAATGGAGTTAGGAACAATGTATGGAAATCACAGTGGCAGTGAAGCTACTTGGTAAAGTGCTGGGACTGAGAATAAAAGACTGATAACCCACCAGGCACGTTGGGCTGATGGGGTTCTAATGGGTCTTTAATGTATAGGACAGCCTAACTCTACTTGAAGGGACTGTCCTTGGCTGTCTGAGTTAACACTCCCAGTCATACCAATGAAAGTGAGAAGGTTGGCAGACCCACAAACCAAGTGAAGGCTTTTTGTTCTCAGACACAGACCAGAGGTCAAAGGCGAGCTCTGAGGAACTATGTGATCTACTGTCAGGAAGGTTATTCAACAGCAGACCCTGGAGATTGCTCAGAATGAGGGATGCTGCAGGTCTGGGGACCACGTAGCTCCACTGTGACTGTCTTGCCTGTCCTGCCCTTGGCTCACATAAGATGAGTAATACATCCCAGGAAGTCACTTAAACCTGAGATCAAAGCTAAGCACATTGGCACAAGCCTGTAATCCCAGCATGAAGGAAGTAGAAGCAGGAGGATCAGGGGTTCAATGCCAGCCTGGGCTACATGATACTATATCTCGAAAAACAAACAACAAAATAGGGGACAAGATTTCAGAATAAACTTGGAGAAAAGGGCTTAAATACTCTTGCTTCTATTTTTCTTTTTTGTAAGTTAATAAAACTTGGGACATAGTCATAACTGTGAACTCCCAGAATTATTACCAGTGCTAGCACAGCACCACGCAGTGCTCACGGCTAACTTCCCACCGCCAGTGCAACAAATGCCACTTCTGGAGACAACCGGACTCATCAGTGTGCCTCGGGGTCTCTCAGTCCTGGAGTTCAACCCACTCACTCTTTCTCTCCTTTTCTACCCTCTTTTTCTTTGATTCCCTTTATGTATTGCTAAGGATAGGCCCTGAAAAGCCCTGCGTTCCGTTACTGAATCACCCTAGATGGATTATTCTCTTTTGAAGAGCATATTTTGTCTAAGTTCTTGTTGGCTCTCTTTTTCTAATCACGGATATAAATGCTGCAGAGATGTGAGCCCCAGGAGGCTCTTAGGCTGTTCAGCTTCTGTGATGCTTAATAAACAGTTCCTGGGACACACAGACCCACAGGGATTCTCCACGGCTGGGTGACAGGAGCAATGAGCTTTGTGGACCTTATGGTTCAAGAAAAGAGGGAGAACAGGACAGCAATGTTCCCTGAAGGTTCTGCAGGAGGCCAAGCAAGGCAGCCTAAGAGAGGGGTCACAGGACTGGGCCTGGGACAGGCCACAGTGCCTCAATAGACTGCTTCCTTTGAGGGGTTCAGTGTCTGTAGTTTCTTCCCATGTACAGCCTTTTTCACAAGGTAAACTAGTGAAGTCACGTCTTCGTTTCTGCCCTGAATGATCAGTTATGATTTTATTTAACACCTGAAACGTAGGTACAGGGTGATGTCAGGGGGTTCTGTCTCTCATGCAAGTGATCCCTCTTTTCATGCTCTCCACAGGCCTGGTCTGTGTGACACACAAACTGGTCACTCAGCTAATTCAGAATATGAATATTACATTTCAGCTTCTAAAGATCTAACAGTGTCAGGTACTAAATGACTAAATGAACAGGGTTAGACCCCCATCTATTGATGACTTTCAGTTTCATGTCAGTAGATCTCTAGCATGATTTTAATTGATTTTAACAAAATCAGTGTCTTATGCAAAATGCATAATTCTACTTTATAATAAATGTGCACTTACTTTTCTTTTTTTGAGACAGGATCCCGGGCTAGTCTCAAGCTCATTATGAGGCCAAGGTTATCCTTGAGCTTCTGGTCCTCCTGCCTCCGCCTCCCAGGTGGAGGGCTACAGGAGTGCACAACATGCCTGGCTTATTTGCTGCTGGAGACTGAACTCTGGGTTGCATGCATGTGTGAAAGCTGAGCAGTCCAGCATCTGAACTACAGCGGTCTTAGTGCAAATTTGCATGTTCCTTCACTGTCACTTAAATCTATCAGTCACTCACAGTGACTTTCTACATGGGCTGAGGCAGTGCTGAGAGAAGGCAGTGGAACAACTTTTTAAGTACTTGATTAATTCACATTTTCATGTGGTTACAACTCTTCCTTCCTTGCACAACCTTGTGACCGTGGTGCTGAGGGGACTTGGGTAACAAAGGACCATTGTAGTCTAGTCATACATTTCCTCTCTCATGGCTTTGATCATGTCTGGCTAATTTTCTTAGAGCAACTCAGATAAGTAATCCAGGCAACAGATGTCAGCCTTCACATAAATACGACTGTCAACCCCAATGCCTGCTCATACCTTCCCCATGGCCATCGCTTTCTCCATCACAGAAACCTGGTAGAAAAGAGAAAAAAGAACATTTTTATGCGTGGGGCTTTCATTTGTTCATGCATTGGAATGATGCTCTGATGTGAAATACGATTTTCGAAAGGCAGTTTTAACAAAGCGCATTCAAGGCACTTTAATTTTCACACTACAAACAGATGCAGTCATTCCAAGTCTAGAGCTGATGCCCACGTGTTTGTCCCTTAGAAGGCTCTTTGTCTTAAATATCCTTGCTGGCCCTGTCTCAAGAGAACACTGGTTGACAGTCTGAGAACCTGTTTTCAAAATACAAAGCAAAAAAGTTTGTTCTGTCATACTTCCAAATATGTCAGCCTAGGGAGGGTAGGTAACTTGGAGTCCTGTCATTGTTCCGACATTTCCATGGGTGGAAGTTCCATGATGGACACTGTGGCATATTCTGGATTCTTACACAAGTATGTATTTTAAAAAATGCATATCTGGAGTCTAAGCCAAGGCAAGGGCGCATGTGATAGCTATTCAAAGACGGGAATCAATCCTGACTGAATGAAGAACAGCTAGCCTATGACTATACTGCAGATTACTGACTAACCAAAACTAAAGAGCCACGCCCCAATATAGACTAGCTAACCATTCTCCTCAGAGCAATGAATTACACCAAGTGAGTATTCAGCTTATACTTGGGATAAAATTTGAAATCCAAGCCTTTAAACACAGCTCAGCTTAGGTAAGTTTCTAGATGAAATGGTTAAACTATAAATTAGCCCAATTAGTCTACAAAACTTAAATATGTAATAATCATTCATTCAACAGATACTTGCTCAGTTCCTTCAGTGTGTTAGAGGAGGGGGCAGGTGGTGCAGGGCAGGCAGGAAGAGGCAGAGCTATGGAGTCTTAGGGGCAGATGGACATTAAGCGTTCCCAAGGGCACCAAGAGCTCATTAATTAAGCATACTCATAAAACACAGACTTTCTCCCAGCTCCCTGACAGACTCCAAGTTAGTGATTGAGAACTGTTTTAGTGCACCTACAACATCTTTTGAAACAGGATTTCTCTGGTTGTCCTGGAAGCTCTGTAGACCAGGCTGGCCCTGGACTCACAAAGATCTGCCTGCCTCTGCTGGGATTAAAGGTGTGCACCACCACCGCCAGGCCACTAGGGTAAATGTGTTAAGATGAGGATTCTTGGACCCAACCTTAAATGGTGTTGATGCAGAAGGTGTGTGAATCGCATGTTACTCACTCAGCAGAGTGTTTGCCTAGCACGCTGAGGCCATGCATTTGAGCCCAGCACCACCAAGCGCACACAGTCAAAAGTAGAAAAGAGGAAACTGGCCAAGCTGCACAGAGCTGGACTAAGCGCTGCTTGTTCAGCCTGTGACTTAGCACTCTGGGGAAAGACTGTGGACAGGAGGAAACCAGAAAACGCAGTGCAGAGGGACAAAGGCAACGCTCTGGGGTCAGCGCGGGCAGGAGGAGAGGACGTCTGGGGTCAGCGCGGGCAGGAGGAGAGGACGAGAGCTTCTCATTCAAACTGTGGCTTTTTGAGAAAGGGCAGGGGACTTGACCATCCTGATCACTAAAATGTGATTATCCTATTAGAAATGACAAATGACATTTTATGAAATGGTCTATTATGGTATGTTGAAGAAGACACTCTACGTTTAATTACTAAGGCTGACCAGTCCCCACAGCCTGAGGAGCTAACTGGGAGTCACCATGTGAATCTCAGAGGCGAGCAGATTCCCTGAGTGGCATCCTGCTGTGTCACCCTCTTCCCTAGACTGGCCCAGGAGCAGCTCCCCCCTTGTTTGACTGAGGAGAAGAGAGGGAGAAACTCTTGCCTTGTGCCAGGCAGCTCACACAGTGATCTCATGCAATCGCTGGAGCAACTGTACGGGACATGGGCTCTCACCACGCCCAACATCACACTGCGGGTTCTGGGACCAGGACTCTGGGCACGGTACCTTCAGAAAGTCCATGTCCCCAGCCAATGCGCTGTGCCTGATGCAATTCAGGCAAGTGGAAGTAAGGCTAAGGGGCTGCCCCGGTGAAAACAGAGGGGTGGGAAGGAGTAAGGAGAAGAGGAGGGCATGCGCAGCAGGGCCGGGAAGGGTGAGGTCTGCTGTGCCTATGGGAGACACACCGGCTGGAAGGATGAACTGACTGTGGGTTAGTAATAGGCCTCAGATACTGCCTGTTCTTGTGGCAGAACATGAGATGCTTTAGGACAGCTTCAAGGCCAGGACACCAGATAGAAAACCAATAGACTGGACAAGAAGCGGTACTTGGCCGTGAAGACCAAAAATACAAGGCACATTACAGGGAGAGCAAGAGCGGAGCTTGTCTATTGTGTGGGGGTGAAGGGGAAGGGAATAAAAGAGATTAAATATCACTCGCAGGTGTTCCTCTTAAGTGACCAGAGGGCAAGGACCATGGCAACCATGACTGACAAATTTATTTGAAATTAACATATCATAAAATAGCCAAATTTAGATTTCTACTGCTAGTACTGCTATTACTACTACACACAATTATACACACACAAACATGCACACACAAAATACCAAAGGGCACAACTATAACAGAAGGGTTATAAACAAAAAGCAGGGAATTATGACTAGGTGTCTAGAAAAAGAGGAAATTAATTCACTACAGCCCACAGGGAGCAGGACAGCAAAGACCAAGATCACATCTGTGTCAGGGAACTCGTATCCTTGGCGCTCTAGAGGCTGATCTAACTAGGAACATCTGAGACCATGCTTACTCTCTCTGTCTCTCTCTGTCTCTCTGTCTCTCTCTCTCTCTCTGTTATGTGTGTGTGTGCACATGCGTGTGTGGGCGCACACATGAGCCATGACGCGTGCATGTGGAGGTCAGAAGACACCCTTGGGCGTTGCTCTTCAACATCTACTTTCCTTGAGTCTTTGCTGCTGCATTCTCCAGGCTATCTGGCCCAGGAACTTCTGGGGATTCTCCTGTCTCCACCTCCCATAGAAGTACTCAGATTGCAGGTGCACACTGCAACATGTAGCTTTTACATGGATTCTGGGGAGCCGAACACAGGTTCTCAGGTTTGCATGGCAAGTGTCTCACCTGCTGAGCCTTTTCCCAGCTGAGGCGACTCTTTGTGTCACTAACCACCTCCTTCACTGTGAGTCGGGGCTTATTGCTGGTTGAAGGGTCACTGAGATACACATCACATTCTACCCCTCAGAGGAGACTTAGGGACTACTGTTCTCAGAGACAGAGTTTGCAGCTACAGTCTGCACTCTGCCCTTAGCTCCTAGCCTGCTCCCTGAAGAACAAGGACTGCTTTAGCTCATCCCACAGGCACACTCTGAAGGAGGACAGTTTGGAGATAAAGCCAGGCTGTGGGACAGGGCCAGGGTCGCAGAGAGTCACTGTGTTGATCCATCCACAGGTATACATGAAACAGTATTGAAACTGCACATGCTACCAGGAAAACGGGCAATTAAACAAGACAGAAATTATAAAGACCCTGCTTGGTGTATAAAAGTTTATTTCTGTCATTTACAACTTCATATCATTTATGTCTAATTGTTGTATAACTCAATAACCATTATGGAAAGTACCAACCATGTATCAGGCTAACAGCTTTGCTTCCTGGGGATACAAACTGAGCTGGCAAATGGATCATATACTTGATGGCTCATGTAGCTAAACTATGAGAGGGCACTCCCTCATCATCTGCTCCCAACAACAACCACGATGACCGGCTTCCATCACTATGTTCAGCAAAGATTCCCAGGAAGGGGCCCTTGTTACTGTTCCTACTACAGAATCTAGGTCTGGGTTTTGGTCATATTTTCCCATCACTTTTAAAATCTTTACTTTATTTGGTGGGTCCTATAAAAAGAAATACTTTTTTTTGTGAAGCTAGTTGGTATTTTTAAAATCCAAAAGGAAAGAAAATGAAAAACTTTAATGAATTACAGGGGGAAAATACATAAAACCCTTTAAAATAGCTCCCACCAACAAATATAATTCTCCAGAAATAATTCCCATCCTTGGAGACTTGAATAATATTTTAAACACACTGGCTTTCCCATGTAAACACGTCCATATTTGGATGTGTTTCTGAGTTCTGTGATACTTGAAGGCGGCTGCAGAAGCAGGCCCACAGTGCAGACATCATGCTGGGGGGTGGCCCCCTTTCTGCAGTTGGCATATACTGTGGCCCCGCGGTTTCTAACCCTGAGCCCAGGAGCCCTGTCCAGGACTTGCTCTTCCCTCCCCGTCAGTGTCTGACTTGCTGCACCTCGTCCTTGGCCTCACACCTGTTGACAACTCTCACTTCTCCCTCAAAGACCACGTTATTCTTAGAATAAACAGTCAATTCCATTTCTTCAGTTACTCTCTTTCTCTTTACATGGGAGCTCAAATGCTCCTTAAATTACCAATGGGTCCCTTGTCCCGTCTAGGCCTTTAGTCCCTTCTGGAAAAGGGTGATCTCAGCACAGAGGGCAACGCCAAGGCAGGGACACTGGGCTCCAGGGAAGAACATGCGAGGCTAGCTGGCACCCAGTCAGGGTGACAAAGACCTTGCTGTGTGCACAGGCACCCCACTGGTTAGTCTCTGCTTTTTAAGGCTTTGTTTATACATACCCATCTCTACCTACCCTGAAGCCAATCTCCTGTAACTCCCCACACACCCCACTTCTCTAAGCTCTGTTCAGTGACCCATATCCAATTCCAACTTCCCTGCCAACTTCACTCTCATATTCCCATGTGTGGAAATACAGCACATTGTCCCTGACCAATTCCAAAGCTCTCAGGCTTTACAAAGCTTCATTTCAGCAAACGAATTGCACCAAGGGAACAAACATAGTAACAATTACTACCAAATCCCATCTCTACTGCATGCAAGGAAGTAAGCCCATGAATGGCTCTCCTTGGAAGGAGCAGACTTTTAGGCTTTAAATAAATCAAAACTGTAAAGAAAACCGGAAAAGCTAGTATCTAGGACAGTCCTTACACTCAGAGTCAATCTTTATATGGAACGGATGAGTCAAGCTTGTGTTCTTTCTAGATTAAGAGGCCCAGACAGACATGCTTGGGAAGTATGTGAATGAAGCATCCTCACTTTGTGTGCAGGTTAGATGTGGGCATCTGGAGCAAGTTTGACAAGTGCTCAGTTCTGTGATTTCTTTCGTGCCTCCCCAGCAGGAAGCTCTGTACTGGGCATTGTGTCAGGTGCTGGCTAGGACAAGACTTGTAAGATAGTGCCTTCAAGAAATTCACCCTAAGCAGAGGGAGGGAAGCATTCTCACAGGAGGAAGCAGTGGTCACAACACCTGCATGTAGGAGGACATGGACCAGCAGAGGAGGAGAGTCACAAAAGGCTCCACTAAAGTGCAGGCACAGCCGAGGCTTTCGCACCGAGAAAGTGGTGACTGGGCAGGAGGGGAAGACACGGGGCAGGATGAAACAGCAGGAGAGCCCAGCAAGTTCTCACAGTTGTGAGGAGTAGGCTGGGGACCCCGGGAGGGGAAGTATGCTCATGTCACCCCAGACGAAGGTCTTGAAGGGACATGTACTGATGGTTTTTGACAGGAGAGCATGAGGAGCAGACAGGGTTAACAGCGGAAGCAGAGAGCGTGAAGCGGCGTGAGTTGGCCTTTCTCAGTTCCTGGCCTTTCTCTTTCAGACTTTCTCTGGCCCACAGACAGAAACCCAATGTTCTGAGCAGAAGTGGAGACCAAGGAGCAGATGATGACACCCAGCTTCCATTCTGCTCTCCCTCCCTCACCTTGTTCTCTGGGCCAAGCCTTTCTGCAGAAAGGTCTTCTTGGCTTTCCCTGGCCCTGGTCTTGATTACTCCTTCCATAGGAACAGTCTGTGTCAGTTCTGCTGGCCCCTGGGAGGGTTTGCCTCACCGTGAGGTTCAACCATACAAAGTCCATGAACCTACAAAGTGAAGCCACTTCCTTCCTCCAACCTGGTCGTAGCAGTAACAAAAGGAAGCCTTGGAGAACCCAGTAAAATCGGACTGCAAGGATGTAAGCTAGGACAAAGACCATCAAGGATGCTACTGCTAGAGCCTGTGTAAGAGATGCCGAGTGTCTAGAAGAGGCAGAGGCAGGTCAGGAGCCAAGAGACACCGACAGAGAAGCGGAAGCCAGGGAAGAAGCGTGCAAGGGATGCACTCTGTCTGCATCATGAGCACACGCACTCCCCTGCTGGGAGCTTGGCTCTCAAGACCCATGCACCGCGCACACTCTTCTCTCTCAGTTCCTACAGCGCAGGAGAAAGCACAGATGCTGTAAGCAGGGGCCTGTGTCTTACCCATGTATGGGGCAGGCCAGGGTGACTGGCCGCCTCCTCCATAGGGGTCCTGGGGCTTGGTGCTCAGAGCACTCGTGTGAAGAGCAGAGTCAGAATTGGTCCTAAGGGGGGGAGGAGAAAGTCTGGCTGAAAATCCATTTTTTCCTCAATGAAATGCAGGTTGGTTTTTTTCTGAATATTACCAGCAGGAGAGAATAATTGACTTACAAACATCCACACAATGAAGTATTAGGACCTACCTGCAGTCCTTTATACCAAGAAGGCACCTGAGGACCACCATACACTAAAAAGAGTTTAATTTGAGCTTGGATAGCCTTACACTGTGACACTAATGGCACAGTGAACTATTTCAGCAAGGCCAGCCTCAGATTCACAGCCTCCCTAAGACCAACCCTTTGCTCTCTGCATCTTAGAAGATGGTCTATGGCCAGTCCAATCTGCGGCTGCACTAGGCTTCTTGAGAATCCCTGAGCCTTTTCTGGGGGAATGCAGGGTTGGAATACCACAGCCAGGCCTCTTGTCTGCAATCTCACCCTCTGGTGCACAGCAGGGCTTTCCGGCAGTTGTAAGATATGTCATGGCACAACAGACCGAATGCAGGCACTGGCCACGGCTGCAAGAGGCACAATAATGCAGCTATTCTGTGTCCCTTTTGTTTGTCTTAGAAAATGCTATTGCGTTATCTTTTTTTTAAGGTATTATCTGTGTTGGCATGTACTCAGTTTATTGCCAAAATGCACCAAAGGGGACATTTCACATCTCCCAGTCAGCTTCCTGCCAGCAGCGGCTGAGTATCGCTGGGTATACTCATAGAGACGTACGTGTTCTTTTAGTGTTGTTTTACAGTGTGACAAAGGTTTGGGAGCTGTTGACCAACAGCAAGCATTTCAAATGCTGTCTGATAGTTCTAGTGTATGTACAACTTCAGTCCAGAAGACAACTATTTATTGATCCCATCCAAAGGTCAAACTGTTTGTCGTAAAGGGGCACATGAACAACTGAATTCAAGTCAGCCTAAAGTGCTTCTGCATGCTCTGCTCCAGGCAACGGCTTCATGTGACTTAAGCCACGTGGCTTCCAAGGAGGGAAGAGGCGACAAGGGAAGGACTCTGGGGATACTACAGGAACTGTGCGTGCCCTGAGGGTTCCTGCTCCTTCAGAGTCACAGAAACCCAGAAAACATCAGCCAGAAACAGAGAGATGATAAGGAGAACGGGAGTGTAGACTGGCTATTGGATCATGGAGAGAAAATTATGGTTAATTTTGTTAATCACAGTGCAGATTATTTTTGAGCCTCTCGTTGGCCTTTACTGTTAGGGCATTCACAGGTGAGAAGCTTCATCTAGCTGGTCGTGGAATGACGTATGAAGAGGGCTGAGAAGGAATGAGACTGGCAGAATGCCATCAAGACAGAAACGCTTCGGATGGGCACAGGGGCTCTTTACAACTTTAATTCTCCTGCAAATATTGAAAAATTCGCACCACTAAAAGATTTTTTAATTTTCCAATTATTTCCCAAGGTCCAGCTTCATAGCCTATACTGGTTTCAACCTGTAGCCCTCCTCCTCTCAGCTTCTGGATACTAAGATTATAGCCTCAACCACCATGCCCAACTGAAATTCCAGTCCCCTCTGCATATCAGCTAAAGGTTCCTGGGTAAAGTCATTTGTCCTCTTAAAGCAGAAAAGGACACTCATTCTTACAGTGTCAGGACTGAAAAGTGACCTGGGTCATTGCTAACGTATGGCCCGAAGTAACCCCAAGAACAGTTGTTATATATTGTACAGTGCCTCCATGTAGCATTCTATTTAATCCTTACAGCCAATTCCATCATGGGTACAATTACCAGCACCATGTTCGTTTGTGCAAACTAAGGCAGACAGAGTTCCTCTGCCCAGGATCACATGGTCAGAGACAAACTTTGGGGTCCCCTCCCGACTTCATGTTCTTACTACACCATCTCCTACACTCAATAGTTTTTTGTTTTGTTTTCCTTATCACTTCCTATAAACACAACTGATATAAACAAACTGGGCAGCAAGATAACCAGTAGAGACTACCAGCCCAAACCCATCATCTCCTTCTTAAAAATGTGCTTCTACTACGGAGCAGCCCACATACCTGTTAAGTGCAGATGTCAGCCTGAATCCAGGGTGTTTGTCTTCCTTCCAAGGAGGCTGTTGCCTTTAGAAACCAGAACGACATAAAAAGGGAAAATGCTTAAGCTATGGGACCAAAGAGCACTTGACAGATGGCTCTTCTAACCTAGCCGTACAGGCCCGAAGTTACCTAAAATGCTCAGGCCTCGCTCAGCTCATCACTGTGGAGAGCTCTCGGGAGCCAGCAGCTCTGGTTTCCAGGATAACGAATGCAAGTCCGTAGCACAGCATCAGCCAGCTGGGTGCACTTGATGCTGGCGGGAACCGGTCAAAGGAAGAATGACCCTCCCTGAGGGACAGTGGGCCTTATTCCGGGGCACAGTCACTCCTCACCACGCACCTGGAGTGCAGGGCTGGCAACCCCGGATGTGAGCATGTTGCTCTCTCATGTGGAGGCCATGAGTGCAATACATTGCTCACTGTCCTGTGAAAATATTCACTTGACCCATCCTAGGCTGAGAAGTGAAGGACACTTGGGATACAGGGACGAAGCACATGCCGTTGAGTCTGCCTTCTCTGACTAGACTGTATAATGCTGTATTATCTTACAAACTTGAAACTCGGGACTCCTCAGGAGGCTGAAACCTGCTTGAGGTGGGGCCAGTGTTGGCCATCGTGACTTCCTTTCTCGGACCCAGACTATGTTATCTATGATAAGGGTTTAGTCGGTATTCGTCCAAAGAACCATGAGGAAAAGAGTCAAAGTTGAGACTAAGAAAGCCCCCCCCCCTTCCAATGTCTTGACTTTTTGAGACAGGGTCTCACATTATATCCTAGGCTGGCCTTGACTCACAGCAATCCTCCTGCTTCAGCCTCCTAAGTTCTGGAATTCTGTGGGCCACTGCTCCTGGTGACACATACATTTTAAGAATCTCTTACGTCTGACATGGAGGTGTGAAGCAATACCACATTCACACCAGAGAGAGGCAGCCCTCCTTCTGTTAATGTTATGATGGTCATCATTGTACCAGACACAAGACATACAGACTCTAAACCAAATTCACCGTATTCAAGTTAGAGTCTTTCCCTCCTTTCAGTAACTGACTAAGAAACGCCAGAGAAGGAATTTATTTTTTTATGTTTATTATAAGACTGCCAAATATTTTGTTGGCAAGTTGTTTCCCATTTGAATCCAGAGTTGCTTAAGTAAATTTTATTCTACATTTTCTTACAAGCTCAGAATTATATACGGAAAGGTTGAGGTTTTTTCATGTTGTGATCTGGGATGGGGGGGTCTCATGTCATAGCTTAGGTTACCCAGAGTTCACTGTGTCACTCAAGCTAGCCTCAAACTTGTGGTTCTCCAGGTTCTTAAGTGTTGGGATTGCAGGCATGTACCACCACACCCACCTCATGACTTAAATTTTATAAGACAAAACAACAGTTGGTGTTAAAAATTTCCAGCTAGTTCAGGCACTTGGGAGGCAGAAGCAGAAGCAGGAGGACTGCTGTGAGTTCAAGCCTGGACTACATAGAGACCCTGTCTCAAAAAAAAAAAAAAAGTCATTGTGGAACATGTCTCTACTCCCAGCATTGGAAAGGCAGAGCAGGAGCATCAGGAGTTCAAGGCAATCCTCGGCTATATCACAAGTTTCAGGCCAGCCTGAGCTACAAGAGACCCTGACTCAAATATTAAAAAACTAAAACAATACATGCATAAGTCAAAAGCAGCATTCAAAATGGTAAAATAGTTAGACCATCTTAAAAAGAGTTTCTGTTGCAATGCTTCTATGAAACAGAACAACACAAAACACTTCTATAGAGCTCTTACCTTGGCCAGCTCTCATCCAGGGGCTGCGAAGAATAACTGGCTGCAAGAGCATTTCCATCGAAGTAGAGTTTTTAATAAAGGAAAGCAGAGCGAGACACTGACACTGAGGTGAGGGTGGGGTTTGGCTGTGCTCCCCACACCGACGGCCACTCCCATGCGTTCCACTCTCCACCTTCTAACCAGTGTCCTCACCAGACTCACGTGCAGCGAGCTCTTTCTCTTTGTGCCGTGTGTGTGTGTGTGTGTGTGTGTGTGTGTGTGTGTGTGTGTGTGTGTGTGTGTGCAGACGCGGCTGTGGAGGTCAGAGGTCATCCTCTGATGCCATTCCTCAGAAGCCATCTACCTTGTTATTTTTTGGTTTTGCTTCTTTTTTTGGTTGTTGTTTGATTTTTTTTATTTAAATTAGAAACAAGCTTGCTTCACAAGTCAATCCCTCTCTCCCCCTCCTCCCCTACCCCTCCAATCCCCCCCACCCAATCCTCACTCCATTCCCCAGGGAGGGTGAGGCCCTCCATGGGGGTGTCCAGAGTCTGTCATTTCATTCAGGGCAGGGCCTAGACCCTCCCCCAAGAGCCCAGACTGAGACAGCATCCCTCTTTGTGGGATGGGCACCCAAAGTCCATTTGTGTGCCAGGAATAAATACTGATCTACTACCCAAACCCCCTAGGTTGCCAAGGCCTCCTCACTGACACCCGTTTTCATGGGGTCTGGATCAGTCCCATGCTGGCCTCTCAGCCATCAGTCTCAGGTCCAAGTTGATCCGGGGTTTTGAGGCAGGGTCTCCTTATGTACTCCTGGTGTTCTGGAACTTGCTATATAGACTAAGATGGCCTTAAGTTCTGCCTCTACCTACCGAGAGCTAAGATAGGCTTGCACCACCACACCTGGCTCGTTTGTTGAGAAACAGCTTCTCCTTGGCCTGCACCTTGTGAGTAGACAGGGCTGACGGGACAGTCCCAGGGATCCACCTGTCTTTGCCTGCCCAACGCTCTAATTGTAAGTGTGTGCTGCCATGTCCTGTTCTTTCACATGGATTCTGGGGATTAAACACAGGCCCTCAAGTTTGTATAGTAAGTACTCTGCCTGTTGCGCATCCTGCCCAACATCTGTCTTCAGGAACTTCATCTATGTGCATTACAAACACTGGTAAGGTCATCCGATGCAGGCCTCCCTGTCTCATGGGATGGATGGACTCAGGCCCAGTTAGTTTTAGTCAAGGTATTAATCTCATTCTCCTGTAAACAATAACTGGTTCTGGGATAAGCTCAAGACACAAACAGGACCAAGGAAAGTACTTTCCAGATGGGAATGAGCTATTTGAGTCCAGGTGGCTCCTTGTGCAGAATGCTTGTCTATATAAGAAGTCAATACCACAGACATAGTCTTAATGATATCATATGGCTTCCTGGCCATAGCCCTTGGGTTTCCAGTGACATAAGCCAATATACTTCCTTTTCCCTCAGGAGGCTGAGGCAGGAACACAGCAAGTCTGAGACCAGAGTTGGCAAATTAGTGACACTCTCTCTCAAAGTAAGTAAAGGAAGGAGTCATGGGGAAACAGCGCAGCGATAGAACACATATCTAGCGGTAGAACACGTATCTAGCGGTAGAACACGTATCTAGAGGTAGAACACGTATCTAGCGGTAGAACACGTATCTAGAGGTAGAACACGTATCTAGAGGTAGAACACGATTCTAGTGATAGAACACGAATCTAGCATGTGTAAGCCCTGAGATTAAATCCCCAGTGATGGGGGTGCTTCTTTTTTGAGTTTGTTTTTGGGAGGCTTTGTTTGTTTTTGAGATAAACTCTTACTAAATAGCCTAGGCTGGCCTAGAACTTATCATGTAGTCCAGGCTAGCCTCAGACTTAAAGTAATACTTCCATTTCTGCCTCATGAATGCTGAGATTATAGGCATACCTATTCTAAATTTTTTTCTTTTTCCAAATTAAGGTGAGTTCAAATTACTTCTAAATCAAAAGAGAACTGTATTAAACTTGAAGTGGACATTAATTTCTGGTAGAAAAGGTGTTGTTTTCTAGGTTCTGTGTTGCTTATTGGGTCTAGCACGTCGAAGGGCCCATTCCAAATACATGGAAACACAGATGGAATGTTTACTACACACACTGAGTATAGCAGAGCTGTTAGTGTTGATTTGGCGAATTGTACTCAGAAGACTATTTTAAGATATTTTAAATAATATTATTTTCCTGCTTAAAAAAATTAAAAAGCTGGGTGTGGTGGCACACTCCTTTGATCCCAGCACTCTGGGAGTTGGAGGCAGGCTTATTTCTGAGTTCAAGACTAGCCTGGCCTACACAGTAAGTTCCAGGCCAGCCAGAGCTACACAGTAAGACTTTGTCTCAAAAAGAAATAAACAATTAATAATTTAAAAAGGGGGTTGGAGAAATGGCTAAACAGTTACCTAAGCAGTTCCAGATCCTAGGGACCTAATGTCTCTGGTCCCCTCAGGAATCTGTTCTTTTTTTTTTTTTTTTTTTTTTTTTTTTGGTTTTTCGAGACAGGGTTTCTCTGTGGCTTTGGAGGCTGTCCTGGAACTCGCTTGGTAGTTCAGCCTGGCCTCGAACTCACAGAGATCCGCCTGCCTCTGCCTCCCCAGTGCTGGGATTAAAGGCGTGCGCCACCAACGCCCGGCCAGGAATCTGTTCTTATGTCCACACGCCCCTCTCCTATTGTACATATAATTAAATATAATAAAAATAAATCTTAAAAAAGCCCACCTTTCAACATTCTCTCTTGCTGGAAGGGTAATGGGACTTCACAGGTGATAACCGTGTCACCCCACAATGTGGCTGCTGGGCCCAGGCTTCTCTCACCTCCACTCTGGCCTGGGCTCCACTACCACTTCCTCTTCCACCTCTGTCTCTGCTAGCGTCAGGTCCCTCTCCTGCCCTCTCTGGTGGATTCAGCCTCCTTAAAGACCTGGTTCACTTCTGACTACCATCACTAAACCCACTCTTTTTGTCTCTATGTCACTGATTGGATCAAATGCACACTTAACAATCCCCAATACTGCTTTTGACTCCCAATCTTTATTTCTTATACGTAAGGGATAAATAGTATAGGATACGCAAGGTATACACTAAGATGTCAGAGAGAGGAAAATGGAGACAATAAGCACCTATTGTGTTCCAGGCTTGTAGTAAGCAAGTTCATGCTTCCCTATAGTCTCTGTGTGAGTGTGTGTGTGTGTGTGTGTGTGTGTGTGTGTGTGTGTGAGAGAGAGAGAGAGAGAGAGAGAGAGAGAGAGAGAGAGAGAGAGAGAGAGAGAGAGAGAGAGAGAGAGAGAGAGAGAGCTGCATGTGAGGGGGACAGGGGACTTCTCTGTAAAGCCCTGGCTGTCCTGGAACTTGATCTGAAGACCAGACTGGCCTCAGACTCAGAGATCCGCCTGCCTCTGTCTCCCGAGTGCTGAGATTAAAGGCATGCTCCACCACTGCCTGACAGGTAGCTTCCCTATAATCTGAAAAGTCCTAGGAGGTAGATGACATGATCACCATTTTACAGTGGAAGAAGCAGAGGTTCAGCCCCAGAAGAGATCTACAATCCCACAGATGGCATGACAGACTGGGGTCAAACCTACCACTCACTGACTCCAATGCTTCAGACTGTACTAAGCCATACTGCCTCTTGGGAGGTGGTGAACTGTCACCATGGGCCCCAGAAAAGAGAAAACATGTACTTGGAGTATTCTCAGAAGATGAAACCTAGAAAGAACAGTATCACTTGCATGAGCTCAGGAGGAGATGGGGTGGGGACCTGCCATGGAAGCCCAGGCTGGGCATTTAAAGTGAATATAAAATATGGAGTTAGATAAATGTGGGTATTAATGGGATCTTAATGATTTCCTTTGCCAAGAAATACATTATGACTGCTAAGTTTGTCTTCCAGAAACTTGTTTTCTTTGTCGTGTCTCATTACCTTATCTCTTACTCTGACTCTGAGCTAACACAATGAAATGGAGATATATTCCAGAGACATCTTTCTTCAACCTGATTAGGCTCAGTGCCTATGAAGTTCAGGGGAGCTGTCTGCCTGCCAGGAGAGGTGAGGAGGGAGCAAGAAGCCCGAGGAAACATGAGTGTATCAGTGTTGGAGTTGGCAAAGCCTGTAGGGAGGAGACCCTAAGTTTCGCAGTCTGTGCCTATCTGCCTTTCTTTCTTCTGAAAGATTTAATGAACCTCTGCTTGCAGAAGTTCAGTTCATAAAGCAGATGTCTAGCACGGTTTTTCAAGCACACTGTCACCTTTAAAGTCACTAAGTCCCATTTAGGCGTGGTGATGCACACCTTTAGTCTCACTGCTCAGAAGGCAGAGGCAGACAGATCTTTGTGAGTTCAAGGACAACCTGTCTACACAGTGAGTTCCTAGATAGCCAGGGCTATATAGGGAGACCCTGTAGGGGTGAGCCCACAATACTGCTCTCCCCTTTACTTCTTTCTCACCTAATTCAGTGGATAGTTTAAAATCCAAGAAGCACAGCCCCGTCGATGGATTGTCTAACTTTGCTGACTGCAGGGACTCAGGGAGGAAGGATGCTGGTGTGATTTTGACCTCAGCAAGGATGGGACTAGGCATGGAAAGTGGAGAAGCCAGGCTTCTCTAAGAGATGGACACTATTTGGGTCCTTCCCATTGTCTATGCTCTATCTTTATTGCTACTCTATTTTCCGGTTTCTTTTTCCTTTCCTTCCCTTTCTTTTTGCTCCCATCCTAAGACAAAGTCTCAATCTAGACCAGACTGGCCTTGAATTCACTGCATAGCTCAGGCTGGCCTTGAACTGCAATCATCCTATCTCGGCTTCCTGAGCACTGGAATTGCATTTCATGCTCAGCCCAAACACACCCCTATAAAAAGAATGGATCAAGTCAAACAATTTTAACTTATTAATTCACATGTGTATGTGTATGGGCATGATGGGGGCAGGACACCAATGCCAAGGCACATTGGTCAACTTAATGGAGTAAATTCTTTCTGTCTGTCTTTGTTCTGGGGATGGAAGTCAGGTTGCAAGTCGCTTTAGCTGCTGAACCACCTTTCCAGCCCTCAAGTCAAATCTTAAAAGAAATGTATGAGATCTTTCTAAGTCTTGCACATTTGAGGGGGAAGCAGGCTGCACATGACATTATGAAGCCAGGATTGTTCTACCTTAGAACTCTAAGGTCTAGTGTTTCTCTGCCTTCTGATAGGAATGTTGTGTAAGGGTTGGAGTTTTGAGGTCACATAGAATTTGAAAACTCATAAAGGTAGACATTTTTAACTCCACAAAGTTTCTCAGAACCTACTATGTACTATGAAACTTCCAGTGTGGGGGGAAGGGGGAGACACACGACTTAGTATTTCCTAGACTTAACAGGCTTTGACTGTGTCCTTTGCCTTACAGAAGCTTCTCAGTTTCAGGAGGTCCCATGTATTAATTGTTGACCTCACTGTCTGTGCTACTGGTGTTATGTTCAGGAAGCGGTCTCCTGTACCAATTCATTCAAGGGTACCACCCACTTTCTCTTCTAAGTGTTTCAGTGTGGCTGGATTTATGTTGAGGTCTTTGATCCATTTGGACTTAAGTTTTGTGCATGTCGATAGACATGGATCGATCTGCATTCTTCTACATGCCAGCATCCAGTTATGCCAGCACCATTTGTTGAAGATGCTTTCTTTTTTCCATTGTATATTTTTAGCTTCTTTGTCGAAGATCAGATGTCCATACGTGTGTGGGTTAATATCAGGGTGTTCAATTCGATTCCATTGGTCTACCTGTCTATTTTTCTGCCCATACCAAGCTGTCTTCAGGACTACAGCTCTATAATAGAGCTTGAAGTCAGGGATGGTGATGCCTCCAGATGTTGCTTTGTTGAATAAGGTTGAATCTCAAAGAACAATGTCACATGTTCTAAAATTTCCATCCTATTATGACAAAATAAGTCAAGGCCCACTGCAGAGGAGAGAAGGTCCTATCAGGTCCTCAGGCACATGTTTCCGGACTGCTCAGGCCAGGGTCTTGTCTCTGCTGGGGACTTTCCAAACATTTGTTTTCTTCCTTTCATAACAACACGCCTCTCTTAGAAGATGATGTTTTCTAGAAAACAGTCCAGAAACTCAACCAAAAATGGTTTTGGGATGGCTCAAGTTTACTACCATTGGATGTGTGTGTGTGGGGGGGGGGGGGTGCCAAAGGCATGGACTGCTGCCAAAAGGTATACTTTCCTAGACTGAGTGCCCCTGGTCAAGAATAGCCTTTGTGGTGCCTCTACTTTGCCTGCAAGTGGCAGGGGTCACCAGGTCCGGCTGTGACAAAGCCCTGGCCTTGCGGCAGCTATGCATGCCAATAACACCATCCACTGCTAAAGGAGTGTCCTGTGCTTGAACCCTGTGGATGGGGGCTGCCTACTCGGGGAGGAAGCTGGAGTATTTGCTGAACAATGTCCATTTTATCTGTGACCATTGTAGCCCTGGACCAAACCCTTGTTAGCAGAGTGCCCACCCTAAAACAATACCACGCTAGGAAACAACTACAATAAAAGAATTCCGAATACATCTTTTCTGTTTGAATCAACAAAGATTCAAACCAGTTTCTGACTTTTAAAATGGTAAAACTTGGGGCTGAGAGATGGCTCAGAGGTCAAGAGCACTGGCTGACCTTTCAGAGGACCTGAGTTTGGTTTCTAGCATCACATAGTGGCTCACAACTGACTGTAACTACAATTCCAGGAAATCTCCCATCTTCCTCTGGCTTCCATAGGCATCAGGCACACACATGGTACACAGGCAAAACATATATATAGTTTTAAACTTAGACAAATATGAAAGGCAAGAGTTTAAAGTGAGTTACTTAACAGCCAACAGAATGCCAGCCGGGAAAACAAGGCCACAGTATCTCCCTCCAAATTCTGAATATGTTTCCACCTGATTTGTAAAATCATCCTGTTTTTCAATTGATGCTCAGTTTCTTGACCCCTCAAACAGGACTCAATAGTTCATTGGAGGGCACACTTAGGCTAATGAACTTTCTCTACATCAACAGATGTCTAGGCCCGGAATCCAAATTAGGGGCTTAGGAGACAATCACAGAGAAATGGTTCATGCCCAGTGACTCAGATTCGTCCTCTCTGTCCATCCACTTGGTTTTTCCTGTCCCTTGGAGCTGACGCTCTTCACGGGCTGATTTAGAGTCAGGTTATCCTGTAGGATGTGCTACCTGAAAAGACAGGTTCCCTGAACATGCAGTGTGATCCCTTCCGGAACTTTATATATTCCCTTTGCCAGAGCACTTCTTTGGAAACGGCCACTCTCGTATGTATTACCATCTGGGGCGGTCTGAATGGGAACGGCCTCCATAGCCTCACACGTTTGAGTGCTTGGTGCCCCGTTGGCGTGTTTGGGAAGCATTAGGAGTTGTGGCCTTGTTGGAGGAGGTGTTACTGGATGCCTCTGGCTTTGAGGTTTCAAACGACATTCCCAGTTAGCTCTCTCTGCTTTGGGGTCATGTCTCAAGAGGTGAGTTCTCAATGACTGCTCCAGCGCCATGCCTGCCAGCACGCTGCCATGCTCCCTGCCATGATGGTCACAGACTCTAACCCTCTGAAACTCTAAGACCCCAATAAACTCTTTCTTCTGAGTTGCCTTGGTCATGGTATCTTATTACAGCAACAGAAAAGTAACTAGGATCTGAAGTTACTTTCCTTAATTGATTATTATTTGCCTCTTAGCTATCTGTTACCTCCCAAAGGACTGTAAAACTCAAGAACACAGGGATGATATGTCATTCATTACTTTGTCCTCAGTGCTGGTTCAGGGAAGGGTCTCCATGAATGCGTGTTTAATGAATGGACCTACCACACCCTACTTCTTACTCAAGCCTCAATCTCCTTTCCTTTTTCTTTTCCTTCCTTCTCTTCCTTTCCTTACCCCTTTCCTTTTTTTTTTTTTTTTTTTTTTTTTGGTTTTTCGAGATAGGGTTTCTCTGTATTGTTTTGGAGGCTATCGGTCGAGCCCAGCCTCGAACTCATAGAGATCCGCCTGCCTCTGCCTCCTGAGTGCTGGGATTAAAGGCGTGCGCCACCACCGTCCGGTTTACCCCTTTCCTTTTTATTCCTTTCCCCCTCCCCTCTCTTTCTTTCTTTCGTGCTGAGAATTGAACCCAGGGCTTGCTTTACACCAGCTAGTTTCTCTGCCACAGAGCCACACTAGCAAGAAAAGCCATTTTTTCTTGAACCTCAAATCTTGAGAATGTTAGACAAGTACTCTCCCACCCATGTATTATAAATTAGGCAGAGAAACATCAGGTCTTTTGCTAGAGAATTCCAAGCAGTTTGGACAATTGCTTGGTGTATCACTCACATGTGCAAGTTAGATAAATTGTGTTTCCCTTTTATCTTCTGCATTCTATGTGAAGTCATCACACATTCCAGGAAAGAGTTCTCAAAATCATCTGTCATTTTCATTTTTCCCTGACTGCATCATATAACAGGCAAGACCTTCGTGAATCAAATCTGGTGTGTCTGCAGAGCATATGGGAGGACTCCTGGCCAGGATCACTGTCCTCACCTCTCACCTGAGTAAAACCAAGGGGCCCTGAAGGCAAGAAAAGTTGGGACTTCCTCTGAGAGTCCCTGAGATAGGAGAATAGAAAGATTCTCCAGCACCTGCTTCTCCTTGCCACTGAGTGGGCAAGCCTTGGCTACGTGAGTCACAGCAGTAGACTCCTAGGCAAGTTACTCTGACATCTAGTTTTCTCGTGGGAAAATAAGGGTTAAAAAAACAAACGACTCATTGAATTCTGAGGACTAAATGACATAAATTGCCCAGCATAGTGCCTGGCATGGGTAGGTGCTCAGTAAACAGAGTGCCCTCCCCCACTTCCTGGTTTCTAAGCTTATGAGGCCAATTCTACCATCACTGCCAGGAACCAGCTCTCGGCAGGAGACTCGCCACGCCCATCTGCTCCTTCCTCAGCCCATGCCTGGCCACGAAGAGTGAAGTGAGGAAAGCTCCTGGCACGTGGCCAGTTCTCCCTCTCCCACAGCATCCAGCTCAGTTTTGTCTACCCCAAACTCTTAGCACTGGGGGGCCCACAAGATGCCACCCCAGCCTATCCCACTCCTAAGAAGCAGCACTTAACTCAAATTGCCAGATGAATTCATCGGCCCCCTTCTCTTATTACTTACTTAGCAACACAGAGATTGGGGTCACATCATTGTTTAAGAATTTTCCTAAATACTGCTGGGGAGATGGCTCAGTGCTTAAGAGCACCGACTTCCAGAGGACCCAGCTTCAATTCCCAGCACCCACATGGCAGCTCACAACTGTCTGTAACTCTAGTTCCAGGGGATCCAACTCCCTCATAAAGACATCATGCAAGCAAAACACCAATGCACATAAATTAAAAGAAAAAAAAGAATTTTCCTAAATACCAAGTTTACATTTTTCTTGTCATTTACTGAGTTTGAAGCTATACAAACAGACAATCTTATGAGGTTTCTCCTTTAAGATCCAAAAGCAGGTCATGAGGTCAACAGAAAGACAAACACTACTGTCCTGTTTTTGCTAGATGGACTAAATCTCTCTAAGTCGACTCCCAGTCAAGCTGAACTCTGCTGACTTCTGAAGACAATGCTGAGGACACCCTGCACGCCAGGATTACATGTTTATGTCGTGGTTCCATCCAACAGAACTTCCCTGATATTCTCATAAACACCTCCCATGGCCTTCCCCAGCCCGGCTGCAGACCTGCTCATGTTTGGAGCTCAGCTACTCTATTGCTTCTTCTCAGCAGATCAGACGGAACTGAAGTGAGACAAAGCCTGAGCGTCCGCTTCTCAAGCATTTCAGAACTCACACTCTCCTCAGTGAAAAAGGATATTTGTCTCCCTGGCTTTTCCCCAGACCTTCGGTGAAGCGGGTGGAAGCGATTCCGGGCGGGCCTCTCCACCAGTCCATGGTGGCGGGTTCCACGAACATTATCAGCTTGATGAATTGACGGCTGCAGAGAGAATGGAAGAACGTTTGGTCTCTGACCACGAAATTGCCACTCACTCTCAAGAGCAACTGATAACACATGAGAAGCTAATTTTACTATTGCGTGTTGCTGCTTTGTGTAAATAAAATGTCACATGTGGCTCTATTTCTACATACTTACAGAATATATCAAAAACAGTACTTAATGTGTTAATATGGGAGCAGACATAGAAATTGTCACAATTAGGAATGGAGAATCAGCTTCAGGCTCTTCTGAGAGCTAAAATTCTATTTTAAAACGTAGTTACTGGGCCAGCAACAGGGCTCAGTGGGGAAAGATGCCTGCCTTGAAAGCCTGAACCTGAGTTCTACCCCCAGGCCCCACAGAGATTAAAGGAAGAACCATCTCTACCAGGTTGTCCTGATCTCTACACAAGTGCCACAGAATGTACACCCATAGGCATGTGCATGCACGAGTATGTGTACACTGAAGCTCACAACACACACACACACACACACATTTAAAAACACAATATTGAGCTGAGAATTTGAGGGGGAAAAGACAGATGAATTACAAGTTCAAGGTCAACCAAGGCCACAGACTAAAACCCTGTCCCAAACAAACAAACAAATAAATAAATAAAAGAAATTAAGCTCTGCTGCCCTAAAGTATTTAATTTTTTCTTTGCTTACTTGTGTATAACTTTTACATCGTGATACCTGGAGAGTGAATATATTTTTGAGATCTAGTTTCTGTACTTAACATTATTTACTAATTCAGAGATCACATAGTACTTCATTTCTAATGTTCATAAAGTCAGAAATACACATTGTTGTTCAAAAACTGTTGATCTGGAGATACCTTAATATCATCCACTTGCTAACAAGTTATTCTGGCTTCCTTACCTATAAGACAGGAAAGATAATTTCCATTTAGGTACATTAAGAATATGAAATGAGGATGGGTGGTGGTGACACACGCCTTTAATCCCAGCACTTAGAGGCAGAGGCAGGGGGATCTCTGAGTTTGAGGCCAGCCCGGTCTACAGAGCGAGTTCCAGAGCAGTCAGGGTTACACATAGCCCTGTCTGGGAAAAAAAAAAAAGGAGATGGGGCAGTAAGATGGCTCAAATTGGTTTGGATACTTGCTACCAAGCCTGAGATGGATCCTCCCAGAGCCAACATGGTGGAAAGAGAAAACCAGCTCCCATAAATTGTCCTCTAACCTCCACACACGTGCCATGCGTGGCACACATAAACAAGTCAGTAAATGAATGCAATAAAAAGATAACTATAAAATGGGATGAGATCCCTTATGTGTGGACCGCCCTGTCCCAGACCTATCTGAGCGTTAGAAGGGAGGAGCAGGTGATAGGGCATGCTGAGAAACATTATGTTAAAGGTCACCCTGCAGATTCTTCTCATGATGACTGTCTTCTCCAGCATGGGCAGCCTCCCTACATCTCCCTCAACACAACTAGACCTTCCCGAAGCACCACCTGTTGCTAACGCTACACCACCTCTAAGAGCTAGCCAGAGCCCAGCGTGAATGCCTGTGGAGCAGGGAGGTAAGGGACCAAGTGACTTGAGGCCGCAGTGGTCAACAACTTAGAAGCAAACAGATGTATATCTTGTCCAAACAAACTCTCATACCCCTTTCTTTCTGCTGTGAGAATGCTAGGTCCTAAATAAAGCTTGCTCCTTCCGCCTGGACTGCAGAAAAACATGGGAGGAGGGCTTCAGTGGGTGCCCTGAAGCTACTGACCTGTCATCCAAGTGAAAAGTGGATGTCTGCTGAGAGCTCCAGGGTCTGGATTCCTGTAGCAACCCTTCTGCTGTGGTAGTGATGGGGGGGGGGGGCTGCACTGAGGAGAGCAGAGTGAAAACCAGGAGGCATAAAGCCAGAAGACAGTACAAACTGCTGCCTATATACTTTTAAGAGGTCCTCAGCTCAGCTCTGAGGAGTACGGTAATGATTCAGAACCTGACACTCAGGAGACCTCAGTGCCTGTATTTAAAAGCTATGTGGGGCACAGTGCCGACCACTTGAGGCAGAGGAGCATGTGGCCAGCACAGCATGGGCAACGGAGGAGGAAAAGTCATCTGAAAGAATTTCTAACAATTCCAAGAACTCATTGTGTGAGAAACCCAAATTCAGTTATTTCCATGGCTTTTTGTTTGTTTGGGATAACTTAGTTTTATTCTGAAACAATAACGGGAGGGCTGGCCAAATAACCTCCCCAGGGTCTGGAGGCAGCGCTGGTCAAGTGGGTCCCCGAGCACCAGAGAGCAGAGGGAGGGAGCACACACTGTTGTTAGTGGCAACCTAAAACAACACCAATAGCCTGAAAGTGCAAGTTAACACCAGGAGGCCAGCAGGGAACTCAGCAGTCAAGGGCTGCCTGCTGATTCTGTCTTACAGGATGGGTGGCAACCAAGGGACAAGAAAGATCTGAGCCTAAGTCACCAATCTGCAGGAGGGCAAACTGAGAGCAGACCCTGCTCCAAAACCCAAGATTCCATGGCGCTCCACAGGCAGGGACTGGGTTGAGGCTGACACTCAGGTGGACAGGGAGACGTCTAAGGCCACTTCTTCCTTTGGTTCTGTGGGACAGCCATGAGATGCTCAGGGCAGTTCAAACTACTGTGGGACTGGAAGTCCACATGCAGAGAACCCTGCTTGTTCTCAGGCTCTCCTCATCTTGTAAGATGTGAACTCCCAAATTTTTCTGAAAAACATATCTACAAGGGCAACAAATCGTCCCGGCCTTGCAGGTATTAAGTGGCTGACAAGGCAGGGGAGCCATAGCTAATACGGACAGCAGAACCTTTCTGACATGACTCTTGTGAAATTGCAGTATTGTTCATTTGTTCACCACTCCCCACCCCCCAAGCCTTCAGGACTAGGCAAGCTTCCTACACTGAGTTATACTCCCAGACCTGGTTGAATTTGTTTTGGTGGTTGTTATTTTTTAACTTTCTAGTAGGGTCTTGCTAAATTGTTGCTCTGGCTGGCTTTTGAACTTGTGATTCTCTTGCCTCAGCCTCCCCAGTAGCCCAAATTGCAGACTTACAACCCTAGGCCTCTGCAAGTTGTGGATTTCAGTGAAGAAATCTAGAGCTACTAGCACACTGTAGTATACTCTCAGAGCACTCCCCCAAGGGGACCTAGAACTTGGATAGGACTCAATCCCTCTCACAGCTGTGTATGTGTAGACATGCACACACACAGAGATTTATTAGGGAAAAGGAGGAAACAATTTGCTGGAGTGGGCGGGGTTCCACAGAAGGAATAGGTTCCACAGATTCTGATATAGCCCAGGCTGCCCTCCTACTTAGCTGAAGATGACCTTGAAGTCCTGAGCCTCTTGCCTTCACCTCACAAGTGCTGGACTACAGCTGTTCCCCTTCACATCACTGGGCAAGCACTCTGCCACAGGCTGCATTCCCAGCCCTGGCTAGGGCTCTTTGTGTGTGTAGGGGACCATATTTAAGTGACAGCACATGGATGTCCACATCATATCGGTTCTGAAAGCTACAGCTGTTGCAGCTGTTTTCTTACCTTCTACTAGATGCTAGTCCAGTCTCGTGACCAGAGGAATACATTGCCTCTACCATAGATACTACTGCTCATCAGTAAGACACATTTCCATTACTCTCTCAGGGGATATACAACATTGCTGGCCTATCATTACATTTGTGGTTAATTAGAATTCCAGATCTTTCTTACTTCACTGGCAAACATATAGGTATTCCTAGTAAGCCCCGTTTTGGTCATTCAATGAGCTGCAAGTGTTAGAGTCAGAAGGCTGTATGTTAATTTAAAGGTGTTAACACTATTAAAGGGCTGTGTGGGGCTGGCAAGATAGCTCGGGGGGTTAAGAGTACACTGGATGCTCTTCCAGAGGACCTAGGTTCAGTTCCCAGAACCCACAATGTCCCTGACAGAGGGTCCATACCCTCTTCTGGCCTTGGAGGACACTATACACATGTGCTACAAAGACAAAACACTCATACACATAAAAATAAACAAAGCCTTAAAAAATATACTCAGTATAGTGTGACATTGCTTTTAATCCCAGCACTTGGAAGGCAGAGGCAGGTGGATCTCTATGAGTTCAAGGCCAACCTGGTCTATAGAGTGAGTTCCAGGACTGCCAGGGATATATAGAAAGAAATTCTTTAAAAAACCATAATTAATAATAATGATAAATGGTAAATTTTAAAAGTACACATATGAAAGTGTACAATTTATTTATAATCAACCAAGACATACTTTATCAAGGCCTCAAACTCACAGGGATCTATCTGCCTGTCTCTGCCTCCTCAATACCAGGATTAAATGTGTACACCACTATCATCTGGCTATTCAGTTATTAAAAACAGAAAAATATGACTATAATACTTTCAAGTAAAATATGGGCTTCTAAGTACTAATATTTGGGGGGGGTGAGACAGGGCTTCTCTGTATAGCCCTGGCTATCCTGGAACTCACTCACAGATCCAACTGTCTCTGTCTTTCAAGTGCTGGAATTAAGGATGGGCACCACCACTGCCCAGTACTAGACATTCTTGTATGTAAGGAGTTCTATTAACATTTTAAAAACAAATTGTTCCCACCTAGCATGCATGAAACCCTGAATTTGATCTTCAGTACTACCAAGACAGACAGACAGACACATATACACACCGTGCATGCACACACATCTGGATGTTTACATGCATATTAAGCCAGCACTGGTGGCATGTACCCGGAACTCTGGCTACTCCAGAGGCTGAGGCAGGAGAACTGCTTCAGCCCAGAAGTTTAAGGACAGACGCTTAGTTTAAAAACTGACAGGACGCCAGGCAGTGGTGGCGCATGCCTTTAATCCCAGCACTCGGGAGGCAGAGGCAGGCGGATCTCTGTGAGTTCTAGGCCGGGCTGGACCAATAGCCTCCAAAACAATTCAGGGAAACCCTGTCTCGTAAAAACCAAAACCAACCAAACAAACAAACAAAAAACACCTGACAGGAGATCAAGAC